TTTGGGCTTCATTCTGAAATCCAGGGGAAAAAACCACCTTCCTCAGACGGTTCAACAAGAAATACTGGATGATTTGTTTGACTTCTTTAAAGAAAACTATGATGCATTTCTTAAATGTCATCTTGAGAAAAATGGCTTTAATGTTGAAACTTGAACTTCTCGTCCTGAACTTCTGCACTCCTCTGACTTTTTTTTCAGAGGCATCAAAACTTGTTAGGTCTCCATATATGCTGAAAAACTATTGTAAATCAAACCTCGAAATGACTGAACCTGTAGACTATGCACTGAGAGATTCAGGAGGACGTAAGATTAGAAGCTACTCATATGTACCCATTTGTGATGTACTTCAGAAATACTGCTCTCGTGAAGATGTTTGGGATTATACGCAGACAGAGCGAAATAGCGAAAGAGATGTACATGTTTTAACTCATTGTAGAGATGGATTTTGCAGAAAATCCAAATGCATTAAGATTACACCCATGAGGATGAATTTGAGGTGTGTAATCCGCTGGGTTCTGAACGCAACAAGCACAAACTTATGCGTTTTACGATACTGTTGGAAATGTAGGTTCAAAGTACTGTTCACAGCTAAAACATATTCATCTAGCTTTACTTGTCCGTTACAGTCACGTCAAACAGTTTGGTTTAGACGAATTTTTGAAACCGTTACTGGATGACCTTGAGAAATTGGCATCAGAGGGACTGACCGTCTTTGTTAATGGCACTGAGCAACGTGTTTATGGAGCTGTAGCTGCAATATTGGGAGACAATCTGTCATCTCACATGATAGGTGGATTTAACATGTGCTTTAGTGCTGGTCGAATCTGCAGATACTGCATGGCTACTTACTCTGAGATGAAAAAGAACTTTTGTTTTAAGAAATATTGATGTACACAGTTACCACTTAGAATGTATAAAACAAAATCCAGAAAACAAAGGAATGTATGGCGTTCATGTGTATTTAACCAGTTAGATTACTTTGACGTCACAACATCTCTTCCTCCTGTCACGATAAGTGGTGTGGTGAGGCAGGTTGGAGGACCCAAACACAGGACGCAAGGCAGAGGAGGTACGGTTCAAAAAGGTGATTTATTTAACAAACAAAAAGCGAGTACACTTACAAACAGAGTGGCTGATTGACTGAGTCCAAAAACAAAGGCTGTCCAACAGAAACCCAAAAGGGTGAAAATCAAAACCCAAAACGAGCAGGGAAACACGACGAGTGAGGCTGACAACACAAGAAACACACACTGCAACTCAGGGTGACAACATACAATGACCCAACAAAGATAAGACAGAAACACCAGATATATATACACAGGGACTAACGAGCAGGGCGGGAGCAACACAGGTGACAGACATGAGATTAACGAGGCACAGGTAGAGAGAGAGAGAGAGCAGAGGGGAAAACAGAGACAGACATGCAGAGGGATCACTGGAGAAACAGACATGACAAAGGTTACTAAACACTAGACGACAGACAAGACAGACCCCCAAAACCCAACAGACCAAAACAACAGATAATAAAACTGACTAAAAGTACAAAACATGACACGGCAGACAGGATCGTGACACCTCCTGATGTCATGCATGATTTCTTGGAGAGTGTAGCACCGTTGGTGGGGCTTGTCATAAATGAAGCTCATTACGAAAAACACATAACCATACAAGAACTAAATGACAAACTCATTTTCCTTTGGACAAAATGATAGAACAAATAAACGTGTGCTTTTGTCAGAAAACATTTTACATGGCTCCAGTGTTGTTGGATCTGCTTCACAGAAGTGGTGTTTATTGCGCCTGCTTCCTTTCTTGATGGCACACAGGGTACCCGAAGACTGTAGTTACTGGCGGATCTATTTATTATGCCGTGAAATTGCCGACATAGTAATGGCACCAGTTGTAAAAAAGGATTCTCTCCCTCTTCTTGACAGATTAGTTTCTGAGTTTTTGTGTGGTATGGAAGAAGATATTGCGTGAGAGATGTCTTTGTTGTGGGTCATATGAACGTTCTGTTCTGGTCATTTTAAACATACATACAGATTGGGTGTTATGTGGAACACTATTCCTCTATCTTTCTGTCATCACTACTATGCCTACTTGGTAAAATATGAACAGGACTGGACACTACTTGACCCTTTTGAAGTAATGGATTTTCAGGCTTTGGATACATACTGTGTTGATGATAAACTGTTTGTTAGTATGTGGCAAATATGTTGCCATTGTTTTTGTCCTCTGCCATACAGCTACCCTCTGCTATTGCTAACTGTTGTCTTTGAAGTGGTGGTAGTTGGTCGGTGAAATGCCTTAAAGTTTTAAAAAAGGAATATTGTCAGATCCTAAAACTATCGTTTTATTTTCCACTGTTACATTGTGTTTTTGAGATCCTGTGGATGAAATTGTTGGACATTTTAAGGACTAAAATAAATATCTAAAATTCAGTTTGAAGTTGTCTTGTTTTTCTTTCACTTAAGGAGTGGTGGCTCTTTTTTGCCACTCAAAGGTACAAAATGGCCCGTCTGCAGACACACAACAGTTTGGGACTGAACCACTGGATGAGAGGAAGAGGTTGATAAATTAAACTTACTAAACTACACTTTTGATCAGACAGAAATCTCACCACAAATCCACACAAATGTTCACTTCTGCACCTCAGATAAAGTGCAGCTCACAGTCCCAAACAGAGCAGGTCTGCGCCTCAGATTTTAGACCGTGACTCACAGTGCGAGAACAGATCGCATTGCATCAGCTGGGTGGAGTTCACTCGCCTTCTCGTTATTATCAGTTATACATTTGTTTTTCACTGCATGAGACAGTAAGTTAAGTTGTCTAACTTGATCCCATTTAAGGTTTGACCATAGACCTTTGCTTGGCCCCCCCCTCGGCCTTGGGGCGGAGTCATCTGTACCCTTTGACCCCCCCCCTGACGGCGGGCCTGAAATGTTGAGAGCAGTGTGTGAGAAAACATTTTTCTGCAATGTTCTATCATCTGAATTTTATAAATTGTTTCCCCAGCAGATGGCGCCCTTCTTACTGCAGGTATTTCATGAAGTTTAAAAGCCAAAACCTTTCCATGGGTATGACTCAGGACATTTTTCAAGTGAGCAAAACTATTGGAACATGTGACTGACAGATGTTTGTTGCCCAGGTGTTGTCTTTTAGGTTTTTTGTCTAAACATTTAATAGCTCTGCATTACTGTGAATTACTGGCTCTTAAAGATTGTGATGTTGAGTTAGTTGCTAATATTCCTGTGAAAAGCTCGATTACTTACTTTTTTATCGTAATTGATAAAAACAAACTCCAAAGATGCAAGAATAACCTCACTCCCATTGTTGAAAAAGTGAAGAAATTCAACCTGTGGCTTTTACGTGATTTATCTTTGAAAGGCAGGATTTTACTCCCAAAGGCCGAAGGAATATCAAGAGTATAAATACGCTGCTCTATCTTTATCAACAAATGTGTAAAACCATAAAGTCCTTTATGATTATGTATGGAAAAATCGCAATTATTATCTGAAAAAGTCTGTTTTAATGAATGAGTTGCCTACAGTACAGAACAATAAACACAACTCGTCATTCAAAAAAAATGATCGCTTGAGTGAATTTACTTTAATGATTGAAAACAGCTTCTTTCTGTAACTCCGTGAAAGTGCGTCATATCCCCCTGATTTTTCCCGGTTCTGTGTTCTGTATGTGCTGAGGTATATCAGACTTGGCATATCAGACTTGTAAGGGCTCAAAGAAAATCGCTGTGTTTCATTCGTCCCGCGTTACAATCGTCCCGGCTACGTTTTTATTCATACACTCATGTCATGTGAGGGACTAACCTGAGAAGTTGTGGCGTGCCACCCAGCATTTCACGCCACACAGAACACAAGGGCCGACGCGAGCAACCTGTTATCATCTAAAGGCCTATGAATAACGCACCGATTTCTAAAGTCATTTGGCGAGCTATTCCAACGCATTTTTTGCATTTGTTATTGTTATTTCACGCCGTTTAGACTGCATCATACAGGCAGGCCTACACACCTGCAAAAGAGAGACACAGGCCCAATCCCAGTGTGGGCTTTAGGGCTGCCCCACTGTCAGATCGTCAAGTGCGAGGACATTTTGAGCCCTTTAGACCCTGTCCGTAAGTCTGCATGGTCCAGTCCCAATGTCCCCCCTGATCCCTGATCCCTGATCCCTCACAGACTTTACTGACGTAACTTGGAAAATGATTGAGTTTAAGAGGCTGCAAGTGCTCAAAATGCTGTAAATAGGAACAGGACAGCACTTTGCCACTTTATCACCTTGAAGACGCTGAAACACACTGCACACTTTTAATTTCATGCTTTTGCCTGATTTATAAGTCCTGCAGGCTCTCGCCCTACAGAGTGGAGGAGAGGTAAATGTCAGTATTTGTAATTGATCAACACACTATTGTTGGTCAAACAGCACGTTTTGAAATATGTTATTAAAATTCCACAAGTTTGGATGAAATGGAATTAGGGAACATATTTTAAAATACATTAATAGGCTTTTTTTGCTAACCTTATCCATTGCCAGTATCATGATTTGTTTGATTAATTTGTTAATCATTAAGGTCCTGAAATCTTCTAATTTAGTGGGGGACATCTATTAACATGCCTTAATGCACATGTTGATGTGATTCAGTTGTGCTAATAATATAGAATCTCATTCTTTACACGTCTTACCTTATAAACGTGCGTCCCAAATAGCATTTTCTATTGCAGCTCCGCTGCGCTGCTAGCATTTGCTGCTGACTTCCGGGAACTATTCTGACAATCCATGATCTGCCATTGCTGTGAAAAACTGGTCCACTGGAGTGAACGGAGATGACGTGACTCTCTTTAAAGGGCTCTGCCCGCGGTTATGTAGATATAAATGTCTCATTCTAAGGTAATTAAAACATAACGGTTCATTATGTAAGGTCTTTATACACCTCTGAAAACATAGTTATGGATATTATACTGCATTTCTGTCAATAGAGCCTCAGAAATGTTACACACCAGACCTTTAATGGAGAAAACAATCAGCAGTTACAGTTTCTCTCTCTTCTCTTCTATCGAGTCTTTTCTGCAGAACTCCTTCAACACAAGAAGCTGAACTGGAAACATGTGGAAATATTTTGTTGCTTGTTTTAAAGTAAATGAATCTTAAGTAAAAAAAAAATTTAAAAAAAATAAAAACCAGACAGATATTTTGACTCTGTCCTGGTGAATTAAATCATCATTAAACTTTCTATGAAAGGACAGAGAAGGAGACGAGAACAGGTAAGATGGACAGCAGCAGAGGAACCGAGAGGGGAACCAGGTGAGCGGCTCCAGAGATGCTGATCTGCCTGTCGATCCAGGACTGATACTGGGACACTCGGGTGTAGACTCCTGGTACATTAGGCAGGGCACAGCCTCCTCCAAAACTCACCACTCCAGCCTGGACCCAGACAGAGCCGTTTTTAGTCACCAGCGGGCCGCCTGAATCCCCCTGCAGACGTCAGACAGGTCGGTTATACTTCATACTTCTGCTCTCAGAGGGAAATACTGTCCTTTTTATTCACCAGTCAGATCTATTGATTAGTGCAGATTTAAACATGTGTGTTATCAGTTGATGGAGGAGTGTTTTGCAGACAGACTCACGTCACAGATGCCCTTTCCTCCCTGAGTCACACCAGCACAGATCATGTTGTTTGTGATTTTACCACCGTAGGTAACGTTACAATCACTGTTGGACACGATGGGAACACTCACCTCCTGCAGCCTCTTTGGGGAAGGAAGTGAAACTGAAAAAGAAAAGAAACATTGATGTTGGGTCTTGGGGTGGTGATGGCGCAATGGATAAGACACATGCCTTTGGTGTGAGAGACCCGGGTTCAATCCCCCACTGTGATCCATCCACCATTGTGTTCCTGCGCAAGACACTTAACCCCTAGTTGCTCCAGAGGCGTGTGACCTCTGACAAAGTCGCTTTGGATAAAAGCGTCAGCTAAATGAATAACAGTCATTTTTATTTGTGTCAACAATGTGTGTGTCTCCAGCAGTGCTGTGTTGAGGTTTGTCAAACTAAGACAGAAGACAAGTCCCACATAAACCGTCCTGCTGCCCTAAATACTCTCTAGAGGTCCACATGTGGATTCATCCACCGCGGAATATTGTTCAACAAATGCACCATTTATTCCTGATTGTTTGGTAGAAACTATCGAGAGCAGCTGTTTTAGGAAATTACAGAAAAGAAAAAAAAAACAACAACAATAATGTCCTTAGGGAAACACACTAAACTATATTTACATCTTCAGGAGGAACCAATGGGCTCAGAGCTGACAGCACAGACAGGAAGTCAGACAAGTGTTGAGAGACGGACTGACATGTTTCTGGTTTGAGTCTTTTCATGAGTTTTGTTGAGAGTAAGAAATCCAAAACATTGACCGCCTTTTCCTTTAATTATTATAAACCTTTATTACAGTGTAAAGGTCAGCCTTTTTGACTTTGACCTGAGGCAGCCCAAAATCAGAGGACAGGCTCAGTGGTTTCTATTTCATGCAGTCCTGGTTCCTGCAGTAAAAATCCCATTCATCTTTCACAAATGATGTTTGGTGAGCCACAAAAGATGATCAACTGTAAGAAAACATCCATCTGTCCATTTTCTGCCTCTGATCTACAGCAGGGTCTCTGTGGCAGCGGGCCAATCATGTTCCAGACGGCCATGATCCATTACTGAAGTAAAAGTCCCGAATATAACATTTTACTTTAGTAAAAGCACAGAAGTATAGTGACAAAGTACCGAAAATGAATTTTTTTTTTTTATGACGTCATCTTGTCTAAATGTGTAGTGTTATTGTGGTGTTTGCAAAACACAATACAAACTGAATTAATCCATACGATCATTCACTATTAACAAAACATTTTAAAATGACTGTCGAATAAATTTTAATTCTCACTGTTAGTTTGGATTTTCCCCCATCCGGTGACCCAGCAGGTCGTCCCGGCGTTAAAGACGCTGCCGGCCGCCGCCAGACACACGGGTCTGATGTAGTCGGTGAAGTTAACAGGTGAGGACAGCTTCAGCAAGGCTATGTCATTATCGTTCGTTGTGGTGTTATAGTTGGGATGCTTGATCTGGGACTCAGTCCGGTACATCGCGTTTGTATTCGGCAAGTCTAGGGTGTCAAGACCGAGGTTAACGGTGAGATCGGGTCTGGCGCTGAGAAGCAGAAAAGACAACATGTTTAAATATATGATGGATACTGGTGCTGACTGTGTGTGAATTTTAGACTAAACAAATTAAATAAATCATGGTTCATTTCTCCAGTCAGTTCCCTTGACCAAGGAACTGGCCTGGATCTGAACCTTTTGTCTTAATCTGTATGTATAGTAACATCAGTGCCAGTTTCTTCACTTGTCTTTTTGTGCTTTTATTATGCTTATGGTTTGGAGTTCATGCTCAAAACTTGCTGCAAAAAGTCATTTCTCTTGTGGAGCAATATGTATCATGTATGTACGTATTTCATGTATTTATTACAACTTTAATGGTGTCTGATTATTGCTAACAGCATAAAGAAAAACATGCAGTGTGGTTTGAATGTGGGTTACTGAGGCACCCTCATTGCATTCTCTGTTGCTAAGCTTGCACAGGTGAAGTCATGTGACAGGATCGATGCTCACCGGTTTAAACAGTGAGCAGCAGTCAGGACCCACTGGTTGTTGATCAGGGAGCCTCCACAGAAATGAAATCCGTTGCTCTGCAGACTGACCTGCCAGGGCCACGACCCGGGAGGAGCATCCTCACCTCCTACGATCCTGGTGTTGAGCGGTGCAGTGCCACAAACTGGAGGGAGACAGTCAGAGTTCATGTATATTCATGTTTTTGGGTCCGGTTTGTTCACAGTATTGTTTCTCTCTGGGTGCCATCATCTGTGTGGATTTGTTTAATCCAGCATGAGCTCGGCTCTAAAGATGATACTGTCAGTCTGTCTGTCCAGCTCTTTGGTCTGGATGAATCAACAACTATCAGATAGATTGTGTTGAAATGTGTTTCAGCCCTTCATGTTCTCCACAGGATGAACTGTAATAACTTCTGACATCAACACTTTGTTTATGACCAAATACACACACACTGTCAACCGCTTATCCTGCGCATAGGCTGGAGCCAATCCCAGCTGACATCGGGTGAAAGGCGAGGTACACCCTGGACAGGTCGCCAATATAGAGAGGTCATGTCTCTAGTAAACAGGAAGTAGCAGGAGGATAACGGGGGAGATAACGGGAAGGCAGGGTCCTGTAATAATCTTTGTTCAGACAATAAAGCAAGCAGACATTGCATGTGGTGATTAAATTCAGGATGCAAGTCTAATTCAGTACAGGTACACAACGATTCCCCAGCTTCAGCTGTACGATGATGTTTACTGCTAATTAGCTAATGTTAGTATGCTAACAAGCTAAACTAAGATAGTGAACGAGCTAAACATCATCATGTTAGCATTGTTATTGTGGGTGTACTGACGTTAGCATTTACAACCCCAATTTCAATGAAGTTGGGACGTTGTGTAAAATGTAAATAAAACCAGAATACATTCATTTGCAAATCCTTTTCAACCTATATTCAATTTAATACACTACAAAGAAAATATATTTAACAACAATAACAATGTTCCTCAAAGTACAATTGCAAGGAATTTAGGGATTTCATCATGTACAGTCCATAATATCATTAAAAGATTCAGAGAATCTGGAGAAATCCTCCAGCTGAACTCAGAGTAAACAGTGATCCCTGTCATTGAGCACACGGAAAAGCAAATTCTGCCACAGTTTCAATGAATCTTGGCATTTGGTTGTGCAATCGTGTTTTTATCGTCATAAAAATACATCTATCTTAACTTTTAAGGACACTGACACCATGTTACACACCGTCATCTCATCACGCCTGCATTACTGCAACAGTTTTACCTGCTTGACCCAAAAATCTATTGATCAACTCCAGACTGTCCAGAGCCAGAACCAAGAAATGTGTTCACATCGCTCCTGTTTTAGCTTCATTAAACTAGCTCCCACAATGTAGAGGTCTGTTGTCGGTTTAAGAGACTGAAAACTAAAGGGGGGCCAGTGTTTGCAGTCAGGGCCCCGAGGCTCAGGAACAACCCGAGGAAATCAGGTCGGCTGAGCCAGTGAACTCTTATAATTTCCTTCTTAAAACATACTTCTATCCTTTTACTGATTTTACATGATTTTATTTTTATTTTCTTTACACTGCATTTTAATTATTTTCTCATTTTAATTCCTCAAAATAACTTCTTATACATCTTCTTAAACATATTTAAACCTGATGTTTTTTCACGACCTGTGTGTTTTATTTTCTGATCTTGTGAAAGTTAATTTGGACATGGATTTTGAAAAGTGCTCAATAAATATAGATTAAAATAAGAAGAAGCTTGTTAACATGTTAGCATGCTGCTGGAAGCACAGCAGGAGCTGATGTAAAATTCAAAGTTACTAGGACTCATCCTGAGGGGAACATGAACGTCTGAACCACACTTCACAATTTAACCAACTTCTGTGGAGAGACAGTATTCGACTCTCAGGGAGCTTCAAAAGTGCAACTAAAAGCTGCTTTTCAGACCTGGACTGGATTAATGATGAGGGTTTAAAGTCTGTTTTTAACTCAAGGAAACAGAAATCCAATGAACAGAATGAAAGAAAGAATGAGGATAGAACTCACCAGCTGACTGCGCATTGCTTCCTGTAGGCGAGACACAAATAACAGTACATTTAGTCACAGGAAACTTTATTTGATTGTGCTGTGATTATAATCTTCAGATTATCTTTAAATGTGTTTATTTTAATTGTCCCTCCTATTTAAAACTGCATCTGATTCCATGTAGATCTTCATATCCACTCAGACACATGCAATACCCATTTTTTCTGTGTACCCAGAACTTATAAAGAAGTTGGACGTAGATCGTTTTAATATAAAGGGCCATGGGACTGGAATAATCTTCCTCTTGCCTTGAGATCTATAACTTCTTGTCAGGGGTTGTGTGGTGAGGCAGGTTGGAGGACCCAAATGCAGGACACACGGCTGTCAGGGATAGTTCAAAGATTTATTAAACCAAACGCGAGCGCACTTACAAGCAGTGGCCGAGTCCAAAGGAGAATCCACAAGGGCAAGGGGAAAAACACAAATCCAAAATACAGGCAGACAAAGTTTCAGGCAGAAATCCAAAAACAGACAGAGCTTCTTCACGCAACAAAACACTGCAATGACCAGACAAAGAATAAACAGAAACACCAGGTATATACACACACACACTCACACACACAGGGACTAACAAGCAGGGCGGGAACAACACAGGTGACAGGGATCAAGGCAAACGAGGCAGGCAGAGAGACAGCAGGGAGAAACGTCTCGGGTTATGAACGAGACACTGCGTCGGTGACGACACTATGGGAACGCCTCTGGGCGTGGCAGGGCTGAAATCATGAATGAAAATACTCCAATCCTATTGGCGTTGCTTTGAACGGTAGTGTGTGACGGCGTAACTGGAGGCGTATATAAGCCCTTACGGCCATAGGTGAAGGTAAACCACGCACCTGATAGGCCAGGGAAATAGTCTGAACAATCCAGTTGCTGATCGTGTGTTTAGAAGCGGGGAGCCCAGCCTTGGGGGACCTGAAACACACCAGCAACTGGTCTGCTTTCCTCCACCGGGAGGACCTCAGAGTGTAAATACTCAGTGCTCTGACCGGGCAGAGCAGATGAAGTCTCCCGTCCTCCGCCGTCACATGAGGTGGGGGATGAAACGCCTGCAGCACCGTAGACCCTGCCAACCTGGACAGAACCTTAGGGACATAGCCCGGACAGGAGTGCAGGTTGGCTCTGACCCTCCCCGGGGCAAACTCCAGGCAGAGAAACTGAAAGTGCCTGGAGATCCCCCACCCTCCTCAGAGAGGTGATAGCGAGGAGAAAAGCCCTCGGGGCTGGTGGCCGGTGTTATGCGTAGGTCTCTGGCGGAACCCTGAAGCGGAGGTCCACCACGGAAAACCTGCCAAAAACCCGTGGCGTTTGAGCCCGAGCGCCTCCGGACTGCGGCCCCTCGGGGCGGGCAGAACAGCGCATGCTAGCTGGAGGCTAGCGCGACCCAAACGTTGATACAGCGGGATAACAGCGCCTGTTGCCACGAGGGAGGGGACCTCGGTCGCCTTCTCTCGGGGAGGGGCTCGGCAAGAGTGAAGAAAAGTCCTCAGATCCGTTGTCTCGGGGGGCTGTGGGCGAGAGCGCCGCCTCGAGTCCCGGGTGCGCTGAGGGGGACCTCGAGCAGCGACACTCTGCCTCTGGCTCTGGCGGTAGGAGCTGGACAACGGCTGGGACCGTCTCTCTGCAGCCGCCGCCATCTTGGACCCAGACCGGCGCAGGAGATACTGCTGGAAAGCCTCACCTTGCGTCCTGGCATGCTGGAACCTGCTGACTACGGCGTCCACCGCCTCGCCAAACAGGCCAGAGGTCGCGACCGGTGCATCGAGCAGGAAGGTCTTCTCCCTCTCCTGGTTGCCCGATAGATTGAGCCACAGTTGCCGCTAAACAAAACCGCCATTGTATGCAGGCTTGCACCAGCCCGGCCCGCCGCTGTGTACGCCTTGCCCACCAGAGCAGATGTCGCGCGATGAGTGCTTCCTACAGCGCGTGGCGCTGTAGGAAGCGCTCATCCAGCTTACTGGCAGCCTGTGTGTCTGGCATGGGCTGCGGCCAATCAAGCTAGAGCTTGCCCACTGCTCGTGTCACCACCTCCAAGAGCTCGTCATAGCTCGGCTATCCGGTACCCGGAAGTCTTCCTCCTCCAAAATGCTGATCACATCCAGCTCCTCAGAGCCGGACAGCTGCAGCCTCTCCGGGCTCACACCCCGAGCGGGAGAAGCCGAAAAACGGGCTCCCGAACGGGGAAGAGGGGAGTCGGAGCCAGCAGACGAGGAACGGGAAAAAGCCTCAGCAGTCCCGATGCCGTCGGTAATGTCGCGCTGGGAGCCCCATGAACGAAGCCGCCGCACCGCCTCAGCGACCGCCGGGCCCGAGCCACGGGGAGAGCGCATCCGGCCGTCTCCGGAGAAAAAAGCCACACAGGACCTCAGCACCCTCAGGGGCAGGGCCTCGCAATGGTCGCAAGCAGCCCCCTCGAGAGCTGCCTGGGCATGCAGCATCCCCAGACAGGAAACACACAGGACATGAGTGTCCCCAGCCATGATGTAGCACGGGCATGGAAAAACACACTGCCTGAATTGCTCACCAGCCATCTCTTCTGCTTCTCCTTCCAGGTAATCTTTCCGTACTGTGGTAGCTTTCTTCTGCATAGTCTCAAACATGCCAGAGTGCCTGCTGAATAGAAAAAAGCTAATGTGTCCGGTGTGCCGGCGTGCTTATATACGCCTCCAGTTACGCCGTCACACGCTACCGTTCTAGCAACGCCAATAAGATTGGAGTAGGTTCATTCATGATTTCAGCCCTGCCACACCCAGAGGCGTTCCCATAGTGTCGTCACCGACGCAGTTCGAGTTATCTCGAAGGGGAACAGAGAGACTAGCAGGCAGGCAGATTACTGAGGGGGGAAAAGACAAAACACAAGTTACTCAACACTAAACACCAGAGTAGTATAAATAAACTAATACAAGCAGACAGATCACAAATAAACCAACAAGGAACACAGACAGAAGCTGAGATTAAAGAGAACACGCAGCAGGCAAGGGCAACATCACGCAGAGGTACACAGACCAAAAGCAAACACAAAGACATGAACTGACACACAGAAGCAGGAGCTAAGATGCAAAGCAACCAAGAACACGAGACCAGGAACCGAACCTCAAAACAGGAAACATGACAACTGACTAACAGAATGGAGTAGGGAACAGAGACAGAACCGACTGGGAACAGGATAACAATAACCATGGAACAGAACAGAACAGCAAGTAAGGGAAATAGCCAAACACAACAGACTATATAACAGATACTGGACAAAGGACAACAGATAGAACTGAACCCAAAACTCAACAACTCGAAGACAGATACTGAACAGATCAAAATAACAAACACTGAAGTACACGGACCAGGAGTAAATACTAAGACATTAACACCGGACTGGGAACTAAGCCATAGAACCAAAACACAGACTACATAACAGATACCTAAGATGTCTATGAAGATTCTCAGTCATCCAGGTCATAGTTATCCAACAAAGGTTAAAATCAAGGGCAACTGGACTTGGTTGAAGATACTGGAAGACGTTTCATCCCTCATCCAAAGGACTTCTTCAGTTCTGACTGACTGGCAGGGAAACTCAGCTATTTAACCTCAGTGGGGTCGTTGGCCCGGGTCATCGATACCGCTGGTTCGTTAGTGTTCCTTGTTGCTGTGACGACAGTCGTTACCGTCGTACTGTACAACGGTGGATTCTACAGACAGAAGCATGGCTGTGCCATGGGCTCACCGGTATCACCGATTCGTTGCAAACATCTACATGGAAGAAGTGGAGAATAAAGCCCTCAACTCCTTCAGAGGAATAGAACCGAGCCACTGGTACAGATATATGGAACCTGGGCCAAAATTAAAAGCCAGGGCAAGCCTTCACAGAACACATCAACTCTGTGGACAGTAACATCAAGTTCACACGAGAAGATGTTCACAACAACAGTTTGGCCTTCCTGGACTGCGCTGTACACATTGAAGAGGACAGAAGCCTGCAGATTGGTGTTTACAGAAAACCCCCACACACAGAGCAATACCTACTCTTCGATTCACACCACCCACTGGAGCACAAGCTAGGGGTCATGAGAACACTGCACCACAGAGCGGAAAACATACCAACAAGCGCCCAAGCCAGAGAGAAGGAACAGAACCACCTGAAGGGGGCACTTACAGCCTGTGGATACCCTAAATGGACCTTTCTGAAAACCGCCACAAGATCCAAGAAGAACAAAACTACAGGGGAGGAGGAAAAGAAGGTCAAACGCAACAACATTGTGATTCCATACCTGTCTGGAGTATCAGAGAAACTCAGGAGGATTTTCAACAAACATAACATCCCTGTGTTTTTTAAACCCAAGAACACACTAAGACAGATGCTGGTCCGCCCCAAAGACCGCACACCCAAACACAAGAAAAGCAATCTAGTGTATGCGGTCCAATGCAGTGAGGAATGCACAGACCTGTATATTGGGGAGACTAAACAACCACTACACAAACGCATGGCTCAACACAGAAGGGCCAACTCCTCAGGTCAAGACTCTGCAGTCTACTTACATCTGAAGGACAGAGGACACTCGTTTGAGGACCACCAGGTGCACATTTTAGACAGAGAAGATGGATGGTTTGAAAGAGGTGTCAAGGAAGCATCTACACCAGGGTCGAGAAGCCGTCATTGAACAGGGGAGGGGGTCTACGCCACCACTTATCCCCCACTTACAATGCTGTCCTTTCATCACTTCCCAGGAAACTCAACAAACGTAACCTATTGGCCTCAGGTGAAGATACCAACGATGGTCGTTCAGTCTTGGCCACAGGTAGTCTGCACGACGGTAACGACTGTCGTCACAGCAACCAGAAACACTAACGAACCAGCGGTATCGATGACCCTGGCCAACGACTCTGGCCAACGACCCCACTGAGGTTAAATAGCTGAGTTTCCCTGCCAGTCAGTCAGAACTGAAGAAGTCCTTTGGATGAGGGACGAAACGTCTTCCAGTATCTTCACCCAAGTCCAGTTGCCCTTGATTTTAACTTTCGTTGGATAACAGATACCTAACTGATAAATGAATAAACTCTGAACTAAGCGGAACAGATGACAGGACTAACATGCATATACAAAACCAAACCCTCAGAATCAAAACCCCAAAAACACAGCACACAGGACAGGACCGTGACACTTCTTTTCACTTTTTCACATCATCCCTTTTTCTATACCTTAAAACAACTTGTTTATGCTTTTAACTTTTAAGGTAACTTCAATCCTCTGTTCATTTGTTTATCTGTTAAAATGTCATACTTTGTCATTTATTTATTTACTATTTTCTCTGTAATCTATTTAAATTGATAAATTTACTAGTGATATTATTATTACAACTTGTATTATTCAACTTTGAATAAAAAACGTAGGTTAGTGGGAGGGGTAGGTGTGAGTTGGTGAGCGAGTTTGTATGAATGAGTTTTGTAAGTGTATCTGTAATGTATGTTATGTAATGTTTCTGCTTATGATTTGTCTTTTGTATTCTGTATTTGTGTTTATAAAATTCAAATTCATCTAACAATCTAAGATGGTTTTCTTCTTTGCATTTTGCAAGTGTCTGAACTGGCTGTGAGTAGATAATTACACAGAAATATACTTTGATGCGACACCAGCGTGTGTGTACACTCTGCCACTGAGCCACTGTATTGCTGCACACAAGCAGACTGCTGCGTTTCACACGGGCGCTGAAGGCTTTGTGTGAAATACTGACGCTTTGTCACCAGCTGTGGTAGAAAGTTTTACTTTCGGTTCCGGTTACCTCCTTGTCTCATCCTAACATACAGTCCCAAATAGATCTGTCAGTCGTTCTGAAGGGGGTGCTACCATCTCAGCAGAGCAAAAATGTAATGCACAGCAAAGAATAGGGCAGGTAGACTTATATAACTAACATATTATGAATTCTCATACAGTCTCGTAATATTATGAGATTTTTGTTCTTGACACGTCAGAGAACACAGATCTGTGGGAGATATAGCTTTTTAGCATTATGAATGTGCAGAAAGTTTTTAACATGAGCAGAAAACCTACTGAAACACAGGAGCTATTAAAGTCCAGGAATTTATAAAGTAATTGCTGTGAATAGTTCCACATGCACATTTAAAGAGGTTACTTCCCCAAACAGAAGACACAAGACAATAGGAGGGAAGACTATTGTGAAGCCTTATTCTACTGCATTATATTCTGTTAATTTTTTTATTTGTCACCTGCTGCCTGAATTTTGGGTGGCCCTTTACGTAGCCTAAATAAAACCATTTCCACCATAAATTGGTGCAGAAAATTTCTCCAGAATGCAGGAAATGAAAGGTTTAATGCTCTTCTAGCTGTCACAAGAGACGCTAGCCTTAGCATCAGCTAACTAGCAAAATGACTAACAGACGCCTCAGAAATCATACTGAACAAACTTGGTTGGCTAATATGATAGTTCGGTGTTTAGTTCTCGCTAACGTTCGTCCGCCATCTTGACCAGTTTTTGAAAGCTACCACGGCCGCAGTCGCGCTGGCTTATGGGTAATAGGCAGCAGTTACGGGGGCAGTAATCAATGTTACATTTTTCAGAGAGCCATCAAGTAAAGCGTCTCAAAGCGTACTTGCTCATGATAAACAGCATTATTAGTGTTTGTTTGATTAAAGTGAAAGACGTTTTCTTAGTCAGCTAGCAATAAAGATAAGTAAGTTGAAAGCAGTGAAGAAATGAGTAGCAGTCAGTCAGATGATTTAAGTGTAGAGCAGCACAAGGGATTAGTCAATGTTTTTTGATTAAATACTTATTGCCATTCCAATCAGAAATAGTTAGTAATTCATCCCTAGATATCACAACAAGAAACTCCAGTTGTTTACTGATAATATTTCCTTCATGTTTGCTTTGGCACATTCAAAGTAAAGAGACAGAGGGAGAGTGAGGGATGCCGGCAGGGCAGTTAGAGCAGGTGACATACAGGTGAGGGAGAATGGGAGCAAACATTGAATGGTTAATATCAAATACTGACATCACAACAGTAATGTACAGAATCCTGTTGGCCTTCATATGTGTTTCAACATTCTTTGTAGTAAGTAGTTTACTGATAATATACTACTATACGTAGTAGATAATTACAGAGAAACGTAGATTTCTTTTCATTATTAGCACAAAATAGATCAGGTGATCAGCACTGACTCTCTTCTTAGAAAGTATTTAACAGCACTCACCTGCAACAGCTAAGATCATGAGCATGATGTCACAGCATAACAGTTTGACCTCCATGGTGCGATTCTTCTCTCTGTCTCTTGTAATCAACGGAGAAGTTAAACTGCCTGGAACAGAGAGGTGTGACTCTATTTGGTCTGGCTGGAAAATTGGTCAATTTCTAAAGCAAATCATTTCAGCAAGTTCATACAGATAACAAAGCCAGTGACCTGGACTCCAGGTATTCAAGACCAAAGAGTACGACATCGTTAAATGTGTAACACACCCAGATTTTATCCTGCTGGTCTGGGGATTGAACCGGCGACTTCCCGGTGTAGCAACAAGTGGCCCTCCGCCCGCAAGAAACCCCGCTCTCACGGGTCACCAACTTAGTGCATTATGAATTCAGATACCACTTAGGCAACCTCTGATAACAAGCTAGTTTTAAATACTTGGTACTGGCCTAACCGTCAGCATTGAATGTCTAACTCCAGATTCACCAAGTTTCCCAGTCAACCCTTTAATTCCTCTCTCACTTTAGATTCCAGAGGGTAGGGCACTGAACACTAGGGGAGTGCATCTTCACTGGTCTCACAATTCAATTAGGATTATCAGGTCAGATTCGATGCGATATCTCGATGCATCACGGTGCATCACCTCAAGGGTGGGAATTTCTAGGCACCTCATTGGTGCTACGATGTGATTGTAAAATGAACAGGATAAAGATGAATTTTTCTCACTGTGTGACTTCTTGGTATTTTTAAAGCACCAAGAAGTATTTTTAACATTGCATAGCATTATTACATTAATACAGTATTTTTACTGACCTCTGCTGCTGTTATTTTAATTTCTGATGCTTCTGTTATTAGTATAGAGTCAGATGTGTTGAACTACGCACTTTACAATGCTCCAGCCAAACCATGTTCACTATACCCTAATATATCTGTTCCTGTTTTTGTCTCGTCTAGTGTTGTTACATGTTTGTTTTATTCCCAAAAATATATTTATTATTATTTTTGTAACTGTATTGTGATCTTGTATTGAGCACCGTGAGCCTTGAGAAACGGCATTTGGTTCATTTGTGTACTCGATATGTCTTGGCCAAAAAAGCAGTCTGAAGAGCAGATGTTAGTGCGCGCTAACTGCCTTCACTTTTCCAGTAGTTGGAAAACAGACAGACTTTAATAAACTGACACGCTGTAACCTACACTGTAAATTTACTGCCAGACTGAAACATAGCGCTCATGTTTTCCTCTGCTCCGCTCGCTTTTCCTCTGCTCAACTACTGCCGCCTGTCACGTAGCTGTCCTTTGAAGAATGAGGAGAGGACGCTACCGTGCTGCACAGTATGTGGGTGAAAATCATCAACGTTAGTATTGATTTTATTGATCATGTGAAAGTTTAGAAGCAGCAGTCATTCAATCAGCAGCTGTCTGTCTGTGCTGAACAGGGAGAACCACACGTCTCCGTTGTGTTCACACCACAGACAGTCTGTAGCTGCATTTCCACCTTTTACGTTCCGTCAACATAAAGTTATAAATTAACCTCTAGATAATCGATTATTCATAATCGTCTAAGTCCGCATCGTGATGCATCTAAAAATCTATTATTTTCCACACCCCTACTGAACACATTAACCTGGAATGAGCTCCTTAAAGGACCAGTGTGCCATGTTTATCTGTAATGAGGTGTGTTAATGTAGGCAGTGTGGATGTTAAAGTATGTAAACAACTTACCAGTCCAGAAGAGGGGAAGAAAAACAAAGACAAGTTGGAAAAGCCTTCTAGTTTCCCTTGGGGCGTTCACCCAAAGAGAAAGAGAGAAACGTAGTTATTTTCAAGAAAAAATGCTACAAAGTTCTTCACTAAATTCCCTTTAATATCCTAAGCTCTACCTGGATCGTCCTCTTCTGCCTCACCTGTGAGCGTCTAAACTAAGTATTCAAAAAGGAAAATTAATTAACAGGATAGCAATCTCTTATTTCTAACCAACATCAACTCACATCAACAACTACTACTACTTCTCCCTCTCAGCAACAGAAAGAAAGAAATCACAGGGTGGACCCCACCCTTTTCTCAAACAATCATTGGCTATCAAAATTTGAACATCACATTGATTTGCTTTAACATTACTTTTCCTTTTTGGGTAGATTGTCCTTCTGTCTGGTAGTTGCAACACCCCTTTGCTTCAGTTCACAGTTTCTCCAAATAAGGCAATAGGAAATATCATACAGGTCTCTTAGAGATATCATGCAGATGTGTACAATGCATGTTAGTACAAACTTTCAAATCTCCAACTCATAGAGGCCAAATATAGAAGACCACACTTCTTAAACAAATGAACATTTCTTCTCTTTCATAATCTTAAATGCATGCACAAATGAAAATCCGTTTTAAATGCATCACACCAAATACAAGATACATTAAATTATCATTTCAACAGTCTTACTTTTCTCATTTCCTTCCTGTGGCGGTTGTGGTTGGGAGCCAACACCCGGCAGGCCACATCCGCCCGAAGCAACCTCCATGTGGCCCAGCACATAATTTAATATTGCCTATATGACAACAAAAGTAAACTACAGTGTATGAAAGTAGGTGAGCTATCTCATCTTTGTTGAGTTTCACATGCAGCCTCTCCGCTCCTCTGTGTGTCTACAGAGCGCCTCCACTCCGCACGGTAAACGCAATGTTTTAATCTGCTCAGTCTCTCATCCACCGCAGCTGTGTTTTGGTTTTACACAAGCACAGCGCTAGTTCAGATAATAGATCATTGTTACAAACAAGCTAAACTGAAAGCTGTCTGTCTTCAGTAACTGTTTAACTTAGTTTGCCACGTACATTAAAATATGACACATTATACTCAGCTGGTGGCTGAGACAGACCAGCCCTCCTCTCTACCAGCAGAACGAGGAGAAGGACAGCAGGGACTGAGTTGTTCATTCTCAAATGATGCTACCAAAAAAACCTTAATTCAAATAAAGCGTAAAAACCAGAGGTTTACAGACATTTATCATTAAAGGTTTTACAGAGAAACACCGTTATTTTTCAGATTTTTCCTGAATTATTAAGAAGGAACATCTTCAATAAAAGCACATGCTCAAGAGTTTAAAATCAGCTTTATTTTTGAAGACAAAGTAATTTCAGTTTTTATAGAATTACAGTACAAACCTTAAATAAAGTGCAACATTTAATATTAAACTACTGCAAAAAAAAAAGAGATTCTTTATATTGTCATAAAATATAAACTTTAAGATTAATGTGAAATATCCTCAACTGAAAACCTCCTGACAATAAGTTGATAGATCTATTCTCACTGTTTCAAAAAAAGGGGGGTTGGAAATAAGACAAATACAAATAAAGTACATTGATTCTAAAACAATTGTATTTAATGTATTCAGATGTAAATTTACAATATTAACAGTTTACCTGCCGCAGTTCTTCAGAGTCCCCAGGAGGAACTAAAAGCGTCACTTCTCAGTGTGTCTAGCTTGTCTGTTATGGTTTCTATGATGATGAGGTCATGATTTCACCTTAGAAACAGGTGGAGAAAGCAACGTGCTGTTGAGGGGGTTGTTGTTGTTTGTTTGTCTTTTGTTTTTTAGCTTATATTTTCCACTTCAGTTTTATATTGTTTTCCCCAATATTCTCCTGACTCCTGGGGGCTCTGTACGTAGTTCTGATAATATAACGTTACACTTTCTTAATCCATCTTAATTATACAGTGAAGTGCAGAGAATCTTACTTTCTCGGAGGCCAGTTGCTATTTGTGTTTTCTGGGGTTTATCTTTTGACATCGCCTTCCTTGGGGCCACAGGGGTGCAAACACTTGTCTAGTTCAACGAATCACCTTAAGCATTATTTGATGCTCAAAAGTTTCAGAGAGTTTGGCGTGACTAGCGCTGTTTTCGTTTACCAGTGCCCGCCATATGAGCGACAATACTGCAACGACAAGGTTGAGCCAATGCAGCATCTCAACCCCAATGTGAGTTTCTGAGATTTTGTCTACAGGACCTAATCGCCGACAGGGTAACAGTTGCACCTTGACGCACCGGCTGAATCATCTACCATAAGAGTCGTAACAGTATCTTGCCAGTGGTTTGTCCGGTCACCATCCCCATAAAATAAAACAGTCCCTTCACTCATGGTTTCAATAGTAAACCGATAATACCGATAATTACCGATAAAAAACATTATATTCTAACCAGAAACATTTAAAAAAATGCAAAGTACAAAGCATCTTTTGTATTTACATACAAATAGGAGGTTTTTCCAGTTATTTTTAACAAAACTCCATCGCAAAGCATCACGGGATGTCTGAAGGATGGCCTTTAACGCTGATAGGCTGTACTACATTGCGGGTGTGTGAGCCTCTGTCTCTTACATGCAGTAACATCTAGTTGCGAGATTGTGATGTAGAGGCAGCAGGGTCTACTGAGATTCAGTGTGGATTTACGTATGCTTTCTCTTAACTGTGGCTAAATTGTCTTATAGCGGACAATTAAACATTGATGAGTAACAAATGTTTCAAATGCATGCGTGGTTCTCTTTCCTTCTTGATTTACAGTTTTTATCGATTGTTTACACACATTTTCTGAAAGAATGCCTCATATTCCCAGAACTCTACACACAAATCAAAAAACACCCACACACAATGGGCAAAACCCCTCAATTCTCCTGCAAAATTAAACTTTACATTCAAAACAATGTTATTTCTTCTCAAAATGGTATTTTGTTTTCAAATGACACACAAACCATCATATGAATAGACATTCATAAGAACCAGTTGAACACTTATGTGCTCAATGTAAAACACTATGATGAATGGAAAACACTTCTCCATTCATAATAATGACTTAGGCCTTTTTGTTTAGTGTTACACTTACTACAGACAGTACATACATAAGTGTGTTGTAAAATATTTGAGACTATTGTTTTTATACTCAGAACACACAAATACAAGGTAACAAATATATTTTATTTGTCCCACAAAAACAATGTACACAGTGTACATCACATTCCCAACCAACACAAAGTTGCACATACACTACATACAAAAAAGAATTTACTGTACACAGTTACAGTAAAAACAAAAAAAACCTAAACACAAACTATGCTGCATCCTCTCTCTGTTGCGGTCTAGCCACAGCACCTCATCCACATCACAAGCAATGTTTTCCCTGGCCAAGCAGCGGGGGAAATATCGCCTAGCATGGCGATTCCAGCCATGAAAAGCATCAGCTGCTATATCTCCACATGCATCCTCCATAGCTTGGAGAAGAGGTATACGCGTTTGTGGATTTCGGTCATACACTTTCCATCTCCAGGCAGAAAAAAAAATTCCTCAATAGGATTGAGGAACGGAGAATATGGAGGGAGATAAACAACTAAAAAGTGTGGGTGGGCAGTGAACCAGTTACGAACCAGAGCAGCCCAGTGGAAACTTACGTTGTCCCAAATGACAACGTACCAGAGCTGCTCTGGGCCGTCTACCTGATCTGATCTGATGAGTGTGTTGTGTAGGGTGTCCAGGAATGTGATCAGATGGGCGGTGTTGTAGGGGCCAAGGGTAGCATGGTGATGGATGACGCCGTGGTGGGTAATCGCTGCACACATTGTGATGTTCCCTCCACGCTGGCCAAGGACTTCAACAATGGCGCGCAGGCCGATGACATTCCTTCCCCTCCTTCGTCTTTTTGTGAGGTTGAACCCAACCTCATCAATGAAGATGAACTGGTGCTCCACTGCAGCCACCTCTAGCTCAAGGACTCTCTGAAACACACATGACAATATTGAAAAATGTTTGTAGTCCAGCCCTTCACTTCCTTTACTTGTGACATCACAATGAAAACGCGTCATAAAGCTTGCCAAGCAGCTAGCGGGGTCAGGCACGCCCTCAAACCAAGCTAGTCTGAGCGGTGGCCCTTTACTCGACTGCTTCCAGGTACTTTTTTTCGTATCACCTCACCTCCATCAAGGTTCCAAGCGAGCTGAGGGAAACTAAAATGTAACGTGAAAACATGACAGACAGCTCAGAGAGAATCGTCACTATTCACTGCATCATCATTGCTGCACCAGACAGAGGCCAGCAACAGCAAGTTTTATATTTTACAGTTTTCGTATGCAATTTCATCAGTAAATCCACTTTTTTGGTGAGAAATCAGCTGTGTAGATTTCCAATATTTACAGTTTTACGAGAAGTGATGGCGGCAACCCGCGGGAGGAGCGTGTGAGGCCGGCCAGCCGCCCGCTCACAGAGCCCTCTGCTCCCGCCGTCACACAGACCGCTGCAGCAACAACGGCCGAGGAAAACACAGCTGGAAGGTTTTCATACCGCTTATCTGTCTTTGCATTCTGAGGAAGGTTGAAACGTTTTAACTTAAAAAAGAGAAAGCTGTGTGGATCACTGGTGTGTGCGTCGCATTGAACATTACGTTGCAGCAGTTGTGTGTGGCGTCGCTATGACGACAAGCTACGTACTATCTCTGGGTAATATCTGCAAAAGAAAACGGAGCAGGGCCGAGTAGAGTCGAGTCTAACGATTTGCGCTATGGTCGCATTTTTCGGCAAGGCAGCATAGATCGTCAGAACACCGGCAACAGTTCAACGTTTAGTCCTAAAAGACGACGCAACTCCGACTCTGTTTGGGCCTGTAAATCCACAATCACAACCTGTAAGTATGCTTTATTGGTTGTGAATTATATTTATAATACACATGGCAATGTAACTTCACAGACTGTTGAAGTGCAGAGTTGTTATAAACGTTGGCTAACACAGCTAAAGTTATAGCTATAATGCTAACGTTACACCTGATGTGAAAGCTGCTGAGCAAACATTCAAATTGTTTGGCCAGTTTTTATGTAAAATTGAAATGTTGTGATTTTTGTAGTGGTTTATGGTAAGATGTGGAACAATGATGTTGTGTGGTTGTGGACTTGTGGGTAACTTATACCATCTGCTAGGTTACGGTCTCAGTCTGAAGCGGCTTTGATTTGGATCACACTACCTTGTTTCTTACGACCCGCCCGTCTCTGCTTCTGATTGGCTAGTAGTCCTTACCTGGGAACTGCGCATGTGCAACTCCCAACAAAGATTTTGTACAAGTAAGATGCATCACTCTGTAGCTCAAGAGCAGAGCGTAACACACACAGGGTGAAAAGAGGAGCTGCAGCAATGTGCAGTATGAGAAAACTATGGTGTTTTAAAACCCCTAATTAACCTGATAATGAGCATAATACCACCTCTTTAACAGCTGTTTATGCAGTGTTTTACAGGAAGTCTGTTCAGCATGATAACCATCAGAATATGTAAAATACTAATAGGATTCCTTGTCCTTCCTCTTCCATATGGAAGGTTGTAGACCATGTTAGAATACATAGGATTAACCATTATTATTGACACACACACACACATTACGCAGCAGACATCAATATAGCATCCACGTTAACTTTAGGACTAAAATAAGTGTTTTTTTCTCTCCTCGCTGACAACCCGCATGTTACTTCAATCATTGTTCTTAAGATTTACAGGACCTCAGTCTATAAGAAGAATGAAACAAGGGCGCGAATCCCTGGTCAATAAGAAAATCATTCACACACATGATTGTCACCTCTCTGTGATCGCCATCTGTTTTGTTTTTTCACACATAGCCCGACCAGATTTACTAACTCCGGCGTTTGTTCTTTGTAACATTTAGTTCCTGTTAACATTATTGTATAGAATAGACCAAAGTATAGGAAGGAATAAAACAACATTTTCATCTCAAGTCAACAGCTGTCAGGCTATTGACCTGAGTTTGCCATTAGCCTACTATCTGAGGGATCTGAGTGTAACTCTGGGTCATACCCTTTTTTCCGTATCACTGCCTGATGGGTCCTGTAAGCTATGATGGGGGAAATAAAATAAGCTACTTGAGCACAAGTTTCTCGATGTGAGTGAATTCACAGTTTTACTCTGCGACACTTTTTTTCTACTAGCTGTGTAGGATCCTATATTAGCCTACTTCAATAAAATAAATGCTATTTTTCTCCTCTTTCAATCCGGCAGGTTACAGCAATCGACATCCTTAAGAGTCACACAAGACCGAAAAATAATCACACACGCATTTGAATCAGCTTGCTGCTGAGAAAGTTTAATTGTCATTATTATTTACTGTAAGACAGTTTAATCACAGTTAAGAAAGCATACATAAAGCCACACTGAATCTCGTCACCACACCCTCCTTCATCTATGGGACGGACCAAAGTCCTCTTATCACAACTAGGTGTTACTGCATGTCAGAGACTCAACGCAGTCATTCCAACACAAGAGGAAGCAAGATTCTCTGCATTATATGGTTTAAAATCGCGGGAGCGCTCAACGCTAACCTTTACCTACTACTGACTCCAGATATTAAAGAGCAAAGAGTAAATGAAGAAAAAGAAATGGAGAGTGAAATGTGCTGCCATCCACACAGTTTGATTCTGAGTGTAACATCTTGTGAATTCAAAAGGTTTCCTAGATTAACAGGGTGAGCTGTGGTGGAAGAATCTTGTTGTTAATAGTTTTACATGCTCACTGTGGTCAAACCTTTGTTACCGGCTTTGTTAATAATTACATTAGCTTAGTGTTTCAGGCATCAATTAACAGACATCAGTCATTATCAATAAAAATTTAATATACAACAATGAATCCTAATTAACAATTTAATTTAATATTTTAATGGCTTTTATGCTCACATGGTGCATTAAATATACTTCTGTTTAATAACTTATAAACAGGGGGGGGCTCCATAGAGGCACATTTTACACCCTGCTTCATTTCCTTTTAGTTAAATACAGAGGTGGAGGAAGTTTTCAGATCCTTTACTGAAGTAAAAGTACTAATTCCACACCTCAACAATTCTCTATTGCAAGTAAAATGCTGCATTAAATTATTAATCAGGTAAATGTACTTCCATCCACTGTAGCCTCGAGGAAAAGAAACCCTTGATAAAGATATCCAGGTATTTTCATAGATCGCTGAAGTAACCAGCTGCTTCAGATCAGCCCAACACAAAATGGTTCCTTGATGCTGGCATACTGAAGCTAAAAATTGGAGAGTTTTGAGTGTTTGAGGCTCTGTAATATCGTGCTCACTTCTACAATCATATTCGCCAACCTGAAAAGAAATAGCCTTATATAAAATTAAATATAAAAATATTTAGCCTAATATTGACTTTTTGTTTCACAGGATTACACAAACACAAGTCTCCTGATTCAAAGGTTCTGGCCCTAACTCAGTCTTTTCCGTTAAATAGCCTATATCTACCTTTACCGTCACAAACTGACGCTACAGGGTTGAAAGATGACGCTATAGGGATCCCCAGTGCGTTACCATGGGTCTATGTGACGAGTCAGGGAGTGAGAAAAGGTTGTAGTGATTCAACACCGCTCGGAGATGGGAAAAAAACGCCGCTTCTTTGTTTTCCATTATGGGTTTAAAACAGAAAAAACAAAACACAACTTGGTGTTTGTTTTTTTTCCAATTTGGTTTTGAAACGAAATAATGAACACAATAATAAAGCGTATGCATCAAAACCAAACCAACAGCTGTACAATATGATCCAGTTACACAACCCTGGAATAAATCCTACCTGTCGAACAGCAGCACACTGAACGGTGTTTCTACTATTTGACTGTTCTTGTTAATGTAAATGTATAATTTGAATGTAATTCATTTATTCTCTCCACAGTTGCAGGTGCTGAGTGCAAAAAAAACCTGAAGGCATTAATAAATACAGCAATAACACATTAATAAAAGAAAGAAGATGTTTTTACCGTCGTTTCTGTCACATCCCAAACTCCTGATTTTCACCATCAATGCAAATGTTTAAAATAAATACAGAAAATTCAAACTTACAGAAACAAACTGCAGAAAGACTCATTATTGTTTGTATATTTGATTGGTTTCAGACTAAAATCTGTTCAGTTTATTGACATTAATGGACTTTTAAGGGAGTCTGGAGTAGCTCTAAACGTTTTAGAGTTTAATTATAACCATGTTAATAAATTCAACAAATCTTTACAAAATTAAACTGATTTGTTAGAATTTTATTTAAATGATGAAGTGTATTTTTTTTTTTGCTCTGTTTCATTCTGGTGAATTAATCATTTAATTTAACTTTGTTGTTATATTAACTAATGTGTCAGCTACACGTTTCACAACTTTACAATTTATTTGTTTAATTAAACATGTACATTTAAAGGTGCTCACATATCTTTATGTGAATTATCACAACTTTTAAATGTTAAATAAAGGAAAGAAATGAACTGGGAGATTGAATATTGGCAAATTAGTTTAATTTAAAAGCCTTTTAAAATACATTTTGCAATTTCATTTTCAAATTTACACAGAATAAAGAAAATAGAGTGATTAACTGGTCAATTTAATGATCTTTTAAATGGGTCATTTTATTAACTGATTATTCTACAAAAGAGTTTAAATTATTTCATGTTTCCAGCAAAGTTAAAAGAAGCACAATGATTGGTCATAGATCTGTTTATCAAAAGTATAACCAGACATCTTCTAGTAATAAAAAACAAAACCAATTTAACTCCCTATAAAAGGACAGAGAAGTAGAAGTCAACAAGTAAGATGGACAGCAGCAGAGGAACCGAGAGGGAAACCATTCCAGAGGATGAACCCGTGAAGGTGACAAAGCCCGGGTGGTCGGTAGCGATCTGGCTGTTGATCCAGGATTTATACTGGGACACTCGGGTGTAGACTCCTGGGATTTTGGGATGACCACAAGTTTCCATATTCAAAACTCCAGCCTGGACCCACTTGGAGCCAGTTTTACTCACCAGCGGTCCGCCTGAATCCCCCTGCAGAGGTCAGACATGTCGAGTTACATGACAAGTAAAATTTAAAGGTACTTCACACCTCCATTTTCTGCTACTTTATACTTGACTCACTATGCAGAAGTCCTTTCCTCCCTCGTCCAGACCGGCGCACATCATGTTGCTTGTGATTTGACCAACGTAGAAAACATTACAATACTTGTTGGACACGATGGGAACACTCGCCTCCTGCAGCTTCTGTGGGAGAGGAAGTGGAACTGAAAAAGAAAAGAGAAATTAATGTTGAGTCTGTATTTTTCTTTTTGTCATTGTGTGTCTCACAGCCTGATGTCTCTCTTTTTGTCTTTTAATTCAAATGTACTGCTATATACACAAAAGTGCAATAACATGTGGTTTGCAAACACTTTAAACAAATAAGGTGCTTTTTACCAGCAGTATTCCCTTTACACAGCAGCAATAAAATATTTCCTGTAAATCTCAACTTAATCATTAATGTAATCAAATCAACTATTAAACCAAAGCTATTTGCCACTGCCAGGGAGTTACCTTTTATCTAGCTTGTTAAAACAATTTGCCATCATTTTTTCTAAACAGGTATCAGCAGAAACAAGCGGCAAGCGGCTCACCTGCTGCCGTGATAACGGATCGTGGGTGGAAAAATACGGAACAAAGATGACAGCGCAGTCTGCCGAAGCCTCTGCGGCTTGTTTGGGTGGCTGATTTGCAGGCTGATCAACATCCCGCCCCTCCTGTGACCCAAAGTTTGACTGTATGTGTATTCAGAGCCAGTGATGCAAAATAATAATAGTTTTTAAAAAACTGCGTTAACAGCGTGATAATAACGCATTAATGTGCCCTGCCCTAGTTTTATCTTTTATTTGCATTGATTATGTTGCTTATTTGTATAGCTATGTTTATCTTTATCTATTTTAATTGTTTTATTGTCTTCGTAATAAATTATTTAAAGTTGGCTCAAAGGGGAAAAAAACTGGTCTCTGATCTTTTATGTGGGCTTGCCTGTGCTAGTTGGAATCCCAGGGTTGGTAATAACTGTTATCAAATTAATTTCTGACCTCTTTGGGTGAAAGTCCCAAGGTGGCATCTGGCCATTGTCTCCGAAATAATCAATAATTGACCCAGAAACCAAAATACATTGATCAAATATGCAGGCAGTGGTGGAAAGTAACTATGTACATTTACTCAAGTAAAGGTTTTGAATGCAGTGCTTTTTCCTGTAACAGAGTTTTTTTACACTGTAGTATTACTAGGCTACTTCAACAAAAGCAAAACATCTTAGTACCTCACCCACTACTGGTGGTCCATTTATTTAGGGTTTTATTTGGGCTCATTAAATTACATCATCTTGTTGCCCATCTCCGCTGCAGTAGTTCTGGTTTATATAAATGTGTGGCCTCTTTTGATGTCATCATTTGTAAATCACAACAAACAAATGAATTAATTCATGCAATCATTCACAGCAACAACAACAATACATTTAAATTTGACAGAATAAATTCTCACTGTTTTCTTGGATGTTTCCCCATCCGGTGACCCAGCAGGTCGTCCCGGCGTCAAAGACGCTGCCGTCTGCCGCCAGACACACGGGTCTGATGTAGTCGTTGAAAGTAACAGGTGAGGACAGCTTCAGCAAGGCTATGTCGTTATTTGGGGTGTGTTTATAGTTTGGATGCTTGATGGTGTTGGACACAGTTCGGACCACCTCATTAGGATTCAAGGAAGCTTGCATGTTACGACCGAGGTACACGATGAGATTGTGTCGGGGTCTAAGTAAAAGAAAAGACACCATGATAAATATTTTCTCATTCATTATTCTTATTTGTATTCATTAGTCTTATTGGAGTTAATTGTTATGTGTCATTATAGCATCTTCATTATTCTTCGGTTTGGGCTGTTATTTGTCCCGGAGTAAGTCTTTAATTTCACAATGTCAGTGTAGAGACAGCAGCCCATTGGGTAATTTTCTATACTGACACTGGGCTGGCCCAATCACAGCCTTACTAGCCCCAACTCCCTTCCCCTGTGGCCTCTGTTTCTCAGGGAGGGAGGAGTCATTTACACTGGGGACATGTACCACCAATTTTTGAAATGGCTGATGTTGTCCCCATCAGTTTTTGAAACTATTTGTTAAAAATGTTCCAAAAAAAAGCACCAAAAAATGTTATTAACAAATGAAAATGCTTTGAGAAAGGTTTATATGCACAATAAGAAAACCTGCAATGAAATGGAAATGTAGAAGACACATCTACACTGTCCAAAAAAGAGTAACGTAAGCTACAAAACAAAAAATTTACTGATTACTGCATTATATTCAATTATATTTTTATATTTTGAGTTTCCCTCAATATAAATAAAGACATTTTCACCATAAATTGGTGCAGAAAATGTCTCCAAAATACAGGAAATTAAGTGTTTAATGCTCAAAATCTTCTGGAGGATAAACCCCCAGACCCCCAATCCTGTATTCATCAATAAATATTTTTTGTAAATAGTATTAAATTAGATTCTTATCTCGTTCTCATGACCCCAATCTCGTGCAATGTCACGTCTCATGGGCTAAGTGTTTCGTCACACTCCTAATCTGAGTCCTTAAATGTCCCCACCACTTTTCAACACAAAGTGAAGCCCTTGGTTAGGGCGAGTGCCATGCCATAGTGACAGTGATTAGGTCAATGATAATAACACAATCATAACACCATCATAAAGTGAGACTGTCACCTACTGCTGGTGGTCACTCACTGTCATATAGCGCTGCATAAGCTATTTGACATTGTATTGTAGCTAGCATAGTTTCCTAATGCAGACTTAACTTTGGCTAACTGTCCTAATGGCCGAGGTGAGGTCAGCATCGCGTTGGCTAATCCCACGCTGCTGTGAAAATGACTTGTAAGCTACCTGCACTTGGGTATGAGTTGTGTACTCCATGGCCACCTCTGATCACCATGGAGTCAGTAAATGAGCGAATGAGTACACTGATTCACCTGCACTGGTACACATATCCAGGTATAAATACCACTCAGCTGGTTTGGGGGAATATTACAGTAGGTACACATGTTATATGGAAGGATGGTGTATTGGTGTCTGACCAATTTTGGTGGGCCGTATGTCCCAGTTCAGCCCTCTTTGTTGCTATGCAAGCTCTCCAAAACAATAACAATATAACAGTTATTAATCCAAGTAACGCTGCATTACAGCGTTACTGGAACGCCACTTGTTTTGGCGTCCTTGAAGCGACTGCGACTGTGCGGCAGTTTGACAGCTGTAAGTATTGCTATTATTGTGTCATAGTCTAAGGCGCAAAGAACATTGTAGTCCGTTGTAAACTTTGTGGGACCAGCAAAAAGCTTTCTCACGTGTCAAAACAGCTAGCAGCAGTCAGAATCCACTGGTTGTTGATCAGGGAGCCTCCACAGAAATGAACCTCGTTGCTGTGCAGACTGACCATCCAGGGCCACGACCCTGCAGGAGCACTCTCACCTCCTACAATCCTGGTGTTGAGCGGTGCAGTGCCACAAACTGGAGGGAAACAGGCAGAATTCATGTAACTGCTGCAGCAGGTGTTGTTTTTGTAGCTGTATTGTGTAGTGGTACAGCCAGATTCCCTTTTTCTGTTAATTACAGAGGAGGCACCTTCAGCCATAAACACTGTCTGCTTCATCAAAGTGTTGCAGGCAAACTAATCCTCCTGAGGAGCAAAGTGACTTGCTTTACCATTCAAGACTATTAAAGCGTCAGCTCTAACACTTCCCAGGCACAAACTGATCATCACACGGAGGCCCCAGCCACACTTTTAAAACGAATACGATCTCTTTCCACACCAGCATTTTAGCTGCATATCAGAGTTGATCTCCGTCTACATTAAAACGGCTGAAAACGCACATCTAGTGGCCGTTCACAAAAAGGAAAAAACCTGGAACCTCCTCTTGACACTGCCAAACAAACCACATCAACTCACTTGCGTCACACTCTTTGTTTAAAAACTCTCAAGCAAAGTCTTCTACCCGGACACACACATCTCTGCAACCTTTTAAATTGTCTATTTTTATTAGCCTACTTCCCAAGAACGGGCTGTTCTTTGGAGACTAACTGAAAGGTCCAGTGTGTAATATTTAGGGGGATCTATTGACAGACATGCAACATATAATCCATAACTATGTTTTCAGTAGTAGTATACTTTATTGTCCTCGAAAGGAAATTTGTTTTGGACTACATGGTTGCTGCATGTACATAGAAATATACAATATACAAATATAAAAAGTATAAAAAGAGGAAAGACAATTAATTTACAAATTTAAAATTAATAAGATAGACTGTTATTCAACATACGTGTAGACACAGGAACAAAAGAATTTTTATACCGGTTTAGTTTGCACAGTGGAACTCTACATCTTCTGCCGGAGGGGAGCAATTCATACTGAGAGTGCAGAAAGTGAGTTTGGTCCCCCACAATTTTCTGCACCTGATTTAAAGTGCTATTCTCAAATAACTGTTGGAGATTCAAAGATTCCTCATTTCCAACTGTTTTAAGTGCTGTCAACACCAGATGTGACAATTTGGATTTTAGCTGTATAGATAGGTTCCCAAACCATACTGTAACACCATACTTAACAATACTTTCTAAAACAGCCTTGTAGAACAGCATCATCATTTTCTTATTCACCCCATAAAAACGTAATCTACGTAAAAAATATAGTCTCTGGTGCAGCCGTGTGCAAACCCACTCCGTGTGAGTTTTCCAAGTAAGTGAGCTGTCTATATAAACACCCAAATACTTGTAAGTCTGCGTTTGGGTGATGTTTTGATCATGTATGACCACTTGATGATGGTCCCCAATACCTTTTGGATCGAATATGATCTCCGCTGTTTTCTTTATATTTATTATTAAATCATTTTTATCACACCACTCAACAAACTGACTTATTTCTGGCAGGTATACATCTCTAATATTATCGTCTTCATCGAGAAGACTTAAGATGGCTGTATCGTTTAAAAATATAGTTTTTTGAATGCTTACTTGAACATTCATTTGTAAATAAAGTAAAAAGAATTGGAGAACTGACACAGCCTTGTGGGACACCTGTGCTAGTCTTTCTTTGTTGTGAAAGACAATTGTTTACTTTAACGCACTGAATTCTGTCAGTTAAAAAAGATGAGTACCACTTTATGATAGCTTGGTTTACACTCAACTGCTCCATCTTTGAGATTAACAAGGGTGTTTGAATGGTGTTAAAGGCCGAACTAAAATCGATAAAAAGTAAACGAGCATAGGCTTTGTGATTCTCTAAATGCTTCAGAATTAGGTGAATAATGCTAATAATAGCATCCTCAGTTCCCCTCCCCTGCCTATAGGCAAACTGTAAAGGATCTAGGTTGTTAGCAACCTCTACTTTTAACATTGACACAATACACTTTTCAAAACATTTCATAATCACAGACGTTAACGCGATCGGTCTAAAATCATTGTTTACTACGGGCCTGGCTATCTTCGGGGCCGGTATGATTACAGCCCTTTTCCAGAGGCTAGGAACAGTACCAGTGTCCAGAGATTGTTGAAATATAGGAAGCCATACTTGAGTTAGTTCATCAGCAAAATATTTTAAGATGTAGGCTGAAATTCCATCCGGGCCTGCCGATTTGTTAGGACAAATGTGTTTAAAGTAATGGTTGATCTGATTAGCATCAATCAGCAACCTTTCTCTAAGAACACCAGAAGTCTCTATATCGCTAAGGCTGTTTGCAGGAGTTTGGCTGCACTTCTCAAAACTTAGATAAAAATTATTGAGATCATTGGCTTTCTGTAGATCATCTGAAGTAGATACATATTTCTGTGAAGGCTGCATATTTGTTATGGATTTCATAGAGTCCCAAAGCTGTTTAGGGTTAGACATATTTAGCTTATTCTCCAAAAGTTCTTTTTGTTTATTCCTGGCCTCCCTCAATAGACCATTCAATTCCTTCTGTACTAATCTTACTGCAAGGCGATCTTGGTTATGAAAGGCTAGTTTCTTTTTATTAATACAGCTTTTAATTTTCTTAGTTATGTAGGGCTTATTGTTTGCATAAATGATCACCTCCTTTTTTGGTACTACATTATCCGTACAAAATTTAATATAATCTGTCGTTACCATTGTGGTTTCATCAATATCATCACTGTGGAAAACTTCCCAATCAGTACAAAGGAAACAACCTTTCAAGGATTCAACAGTGTCATTCGACCACACATTAACACTCTTAACCACAGGTTTGTGTCTTTTCAGCAGAGTCTTATATGTTGGGATTAAGTACACAATGTTGTGGTCAGAGTTAGACAGACGAGGAAAAGATCTGGAAGTGTATGCTTCTTTTATGTTCCCGTAGCATTTGTCTAAGATCCTATTAAGTCTTGTATTGTCTTTAACATACTGTTCATACCCAGAGAGGGCAGACTCCATTTTACAATGATTAAAGTCGCCGAGTATGAAGACAGGAGCTCCAGGTGTATGTTGAAGTTGAACCTGAATACAGTCTCTTATAATGCTCACGGCATTTGCTGCTTTGCCCGACGGAGGGACGTACACAACACAAATCAAAATGTTCCCAAACTCTCTGGGTAGGTAAAAGGGTAGCTGTACTGAAAAGGGTCTCAGACTTAAACTTATGTTTAAGTCTGAGACCCTTTTCAGTGGTGTATAAAGACCGTACATGAGGAACCGTTATGTTTTTATTACCATGTCTAAACCAGATATTATGACAATTTAACCAACTTCAGTGGAGAAACAAGAATCATTTCACTCTCTTTAAGATGCTGTAGAATATTCTCTCCTGAGCTGGATTATGTTTAAAGTTAACAGCTGTTTTAAACTCTTTGAATAAACGAAAGTATGAGAACTCACCATCTAACTGTGCGTTGCTTCCTGTGGGAGAGACAAAGAATAAAACATTTTGTTATTTACAGGAAATGTACATTTCAAAGCAAACATTTCTGAGAAATGTAAAATCTTAATCTGTAAAATAACTACTATATATTGCAAACTACAAAATAAAATACATAGAAATACTCAAGTAAGTAGCTCAAATTTGTATTAAAGTGCAGTAGTAGGGTAAACGGTAAGTGTCCCCTTTCAGTTAATTACTGAGAAATAGGCATTGCAAAGATTCAAACGTTTTCCTTTTTGAATTGTATTCATTCATTTTCGATGAGTAGCTATATAATCACTTTGTTCTGTTGTAATTATTTAACAAAACTCAATTAAACATTTATCAAAAATATTTGACCTCAAATCTAATAAACAATGACAAAACTTTAAATTCATATACGATATATACGATGGGGACTCGACTTGAGACTCGTCCTCAAAAGTCTTCAGTCTTGACTCGGACTCGCGGTGCGGGAACAATGTTTAGTCACGTCACATAAGTAATCTACAAAATGTTATTTAACTTAAAACACATCATCTTTAACTTTCTTCCACACGGGACTCAAACCTCAATCTCCTGAGTGAAAGTCTTGAGTTTACTCTCATCCTGGTGACTTCTGTCACCTTATTCCGCCCTGCCCACTTTTAATACTTCGTTCTTTTGCATTTTGTCATCCGACTTCCGCTAAAACTGATACGTCACGTCCGGTAGCTAGTTCACTAGTTAGAATGGTTAGAAGATTTTTTTTATTAAGCACTTTGTAAATTGTTTTTGAAAAGTGCTCTACAAATAAAATTATTATTATTATTATTACTATTATTATTATAGCCAGAAATAACCAAATGTAATCAAAAATGACCAGTAATGCCACAAATATTTTGAAATGGAAGCAGCCAGAAAACTACATAAGAAGATTAGTGTCCCATCCGTTGTCAGTGTAAACGTGGGTAATTAGACGATATGAAGAAGCGGCCAGAGGGAACTGAGAGGAACATATTTTACAAGCCTACTTGTAGGCTAAGGTACTGTACACACAGAGGGGGATTTTCATCAGCCCAGCCAGTACAGCAGCGTTAACCATTCAGCACAGGTACTAACGTTACTAGTTAGCACCCAGGGATCAATGGCAATGCTGGTTCGGGAAGGTCGTGTAGCCACTCAGCCTCAATATTATGAAAGGTAAGACTATCTAGATTATACAAACATTATTATTATCTTGCAACGTTCGTGTTGTTAACAGATGTATGTTATTATTATGTATAAACATATTGAAATATGTTTGTCAAAATGTGTCACTTTACTTAAAGCAAACGATGACGTGTTGTAAGGTATTATAATTAGTTCATATGGTATTATGTCCACCAGATAGATATTTTAACACTTTACTTAAAGCAAACAAAGACATCTCTAACTATCCAAAGATGCTATCCAACGAAGGTTAAAATCAAGGGCAACTGGACTTGGTTGAAGATTCTGGAAGACGTTTCGTCCCTCATCCAAAGGACTTCTTCAGTTCTGACTGACTGGCAGGGAAACTCAGCTATTTAACCTCAGTGGGGTCGTTTGCCAGGATCGTCGATACTTATATCGATACATTCGTCGATACATTGTAAAGGTTTATAAAAAGTATTTACTGACAGGTAACATCTGGTCACGTTGTAAAGCTTTATAAAAAGTATTTACTGACAGGTAACATCTGGTCTCAATGTAAAGGTTTATAAAAAGTATTTACTGACAGGTAACATCTGGTCTCAATGTAAAGGTTTATAAAAAGTATTTACTGACAGGTAACATCTGGTCACGTTGTAAAGCTTTATAAAAAGTATTTACTGACAGGTAACATCTGGTCACGTTGTAAAGCTTTATAAATAATAACTGACAAAGGTGGTTTTTCCTCAGTAGAGTTTTATGTAAAACACAGCCGGCACATTGTGTTCCTTTATCAGATGTTTGTGACTTAAGGTTGAGTGGTGATTTTGAAGTGTAGTTTTGGCCAGAGAGCTGTCCCATATTGTTTCTGCATCACAGTGTGTGTAGGCATGTGGATGTGGTCATCCTCACAGTTCTCCACTGCATCTGTGGAAATAATATATGGCAATCACAATTATATAGAACAGTGTGTGTAAGAGAGGTGTATTAAAACTAGACAGTAACGTTATACACACAATCTCTAATTAATTTGTTAATACTTAGGTCAGTATCAACATCTGAATGAGAGATGTAGCTAACTAAGCTGGCCGGCTAACATCTGCGATATATGTAAACAGGAATAATGTGAGCTATTATTAGACTGTTATGGAGGAGATCATAATATTTTCACACCTTAATGTCAAATATGAAATGGTAATGATGCAAAATTCTTTGTATTTAGTTACTTTAGTTACCTTCTCGTTACTGATCTTCATATGTATTTATAGAACGGACTTAACAAACGTAACTTTATGCAATTGAACACATATAACTGGCTTACCTGAATCTGACAACCTGTTCAGCACCAGACATGGTTTCTTTCCCAGAGCATCTTCGCCGAGGATCAGTCGGCTTTCCGTCTATGAAATGATATGAACTCACGGGCACAGTGTGCTTCAAGTTTAGCGCCTTCAGCCATAAGTTAGCCTCAAGTGCTCCTCATCTTTAGGTGGTAGGTGTTAAGTTGTAAAATGCATGACAACACTCGTAACTTTGTGTGTGCAATTGTTCTCGCCTCTTGAAACTAAACACATAATACTTAACATCTCTTCTTGGTTATCTAGGATGACAAAACAAATACAATGCCGAAAAATACTACTACTACTACTATCTATCTAAACTCAGTCTAACTTTACCTCACCCGTGTCAATAGTCAATCTTTTCTATCTAGGTTTTTTCATTATGAACACAAAACAAATCAGGTGAGCCACTCTGATTCTCTTCTGAGACAATATTTAACAGCACTCATCTGAGTGACTGAGACCACAAGCACGACGCCACAAACTAACAGCTTGACCTCCATGGTGCGAATCTTCCAACTGTGTAAATGGAATGAATGTAATCAGAGACGTGGCTCTGTTTGGTCTGACTCAAAAATTGGTCAATTTATAAGGCCAATAACTTCAGCTAGATCAAACAGGCAATAAAGCCATAAACCTGGACTGTAGGTTAGAAGAAATAGAAAGTGAAAAGGGCTGACATCCACACAGTTTGATCGATGAAAAACATGGTCTTTAAAAGAGATTTTTTTGAGATTTTACATGCTCACTGTGGTCAAACTGCCAAATATATATATATATATATATATATAGACAAAATAAATCAGCATTATTTTTGACATATGATATTTGAAAACTGGTTCCTTTGATGTTGCCTTACTCGTAGTCAAAGATTACCATGTGCTCAGGCAGAGACAGTAAGTGGGACCCAAATGCAGACTCTGGAAACACAAGTGCAGTAATCACGTTCAATCCCAAAACAAAGAGAAATACTGAAGTTTACATGCTGAGTCAGAAGTCCAGACAAAGGCAAGGAATCCCAAGCAAAACGTAAATCCAAACGGGTTAGAATAATCCAGAAAATGGCAAACACGGAGACAAACCAGAGAAACACTGATGATGGCACAACAAAGACTGAACATAACTGAGCAAATTAATTACAGCAGATTAATAACAGCGACAAATGAGCAGAGACGGAGCAAACAGGTGAGACACCAAAAATGGCGTTAAAACCCTGCAACAGCCCGTCGCACATGAGAGATGTAACCGTATTGGTTAGATTATAAACTCTCGGCAAATAAAAAAAAAATATTCGCCGATCAGTGACGCTGCGTTGGTGTTTGGCAGGTGAGCCATGTAGGTGGGCGGATTAAACAGTGACGATCTGAGTCAGACAAACACACTGAGCCAAGAGAGTTTTTGTGCAGCCATGCAGCTACCAGAACTACGGTGTTTCTGCCGTTGCTCTACATCATTAAACCACACTTATGCTGCGCGATCATGTGCAGCCGACGCTGGTGCCAACAGTAGCCCTGTAGTAGTATTTTATTGGTCCAAAACTGGCTTCAGTGCACTCCATTCAAACCTGCGGGGTTGCCTTTGTCCAGTAATATACTGTCTCTGCACCAGACACAAACAATCTTAAAATAAAACAGGAAGTAAAGCACGTGACAACACACAAGGACGAAGGTAACAGAATACAACAGAGAACATGAACGAGTTGATCTCCGTCTACATTAAAACGACTGGAAACGCACATCTATTGGCCGTTCAGGTACACTGGGCTCGCGCGTGCCGGCGTAAACATGAAGCAGATGGTCTCTTGCTGTTTACGAAAGAAAAAAGTAATACAGACGAAGAAGGTTTTTTTGTTGCATGCACCAATAAGGAGCTGGGACTGTTACTGAATGTAACATGGGAGTGTGGCGGCGGAACAGAGTCGTAAATATGGCGACGTGCACTGTACATGTGTAGGCAGATAAGTGTTATTTGCATGGTACATAATATTTTAATTAAAATACCATGTCAAAAAAGAAGCGTCGTGTTTCTGCTTTGCATGACTTCTAAGACCCAATCACAGAGCCGAGTGCGAGCGGCTGCGTTATCGTTTCTAAAGTCCCCCGTTTTGGCCCGTCTTCACTAAAACGCCCTCCGGAGTTTGAAACGCAAAACGGGGTCGGTAGCATTTCCAAACTTCTCCGTTTAAGGTCTTTGTTTTCGCCGTTGTAGTCTGGACGGGAGGTGCAAACGTAGCAAAAGGTCTCCGTTTTAATTTGAAAACGCAGTAGTGTGGACGGGGCCCAAGGCTGAAGAACACAGTAGCCAAAGTAGCCTTTCTTTTTTTTTATCTTATGTTCTTTGATCATTATGGCCTGCAGTTTTTGTTCTATTGCTTCTTCTTTATCTTCTCTTTTTCTAATGGAAGTATTTGAGCAGCAAAAACTGTAAAACCTAGAAACACCAAATTTTGCCGGTGGTTTGCAAAGTTCACCCACTGCTCAGGCACATACTATTAATGATACTCTCAAATCAACCTCAAGGTTTTCACAATTAAATCGAACATCTTGGCTTAGATTAAAAATGATTTCATCATTTTAACCTTTCCAGTCATCTGCATCTGGTCTTCTGCTCTAAAAATGTCAAATTCTGTGATTTTACTCTCAAATTTCTCAAAATCCTTTTTTCACCTCTTGTCAGAAACCACTGTGCCCAAAACTTCAAGATCAACCACAGACTTATAGAAATGTCGACTGTTTGAAATATCATCCGTTTCATTGCTGTGTGACTTGATAACTCTGTTTACAGCTGTAACTCATTTACAGTGAACTTTAACGGCTTTGTAGATATTTGGTTTCACTTTGACGTTAAGGTCTCTTTTTCTGTTAATCAGTGTTTAAAAGAAACAATAAGTTAGTTATCAATAAATGCTGTAAAACAATAAAACAAAACTTCAAAGAGGGTGAAAACTTTCACTTTTAACATTGCACAGTTTGCTCTTACGTGATAAAGAGAGCGCGGAATAGAAAAGGTCTGAGGCGTGATCACATCTGCGTCTTTATTAAGTACCAACAGCACAGAGAAAGGTTTAGCTGACAGATTTTACTTGTTTGGGAGAAATTTACTAATTAAATCAGCATTATTTTGTCTTTTATTTAGTCTGGTTTTACATGATGTATACAGCCCCCCTGACATGAAAACTAGAAGATATATTAATCACTTGTTACAGAACTGGATGAACATTTAAAAGTAGTTTCTTTCTGTCCTTCTCTTATGTTCTTTTATGATTAATCGATTGTTGATTTTGTTCTCATTCTTCTTCTCTGATGAAAGTGTTTGTGCAGCAAAAACAAAGAAACACCAACATTTGCAGTTATATTGCAAATTCCACCCACTACTCAACCTCAAGCTGGCGCTGTTATAATCAACTTGACAATTTAGCAATTATCTTGAAAATGGTTTGTCTTATACCTGAAATTATTTCATCATTTTCACCATTCGAGTCGTCTGCATCTGGTCTTCTGCTTCTATCCAAGACAATATTTACTTTATATTTTAGTGATTTGGGGCTGTCTAATTAAAAGATTTTGTTATTTATTAAAGTGAATGTAACACAAAGACGTTAAAAGGTGAACACAAACAGTTTATTCATTTAGTTTTGATTTAATCAGAAATAAATTAGAAACTGAGACATTTGAAAACAAAAGATTTATAAATAACTATCAGACGTAAATGTGATTTATGTCAGAACTGATTTCTCCAACCCTGATTTCATTAGAAATTATTAGTGACCAGTTTCGACAAACATCTTAGATCGACCAATTCAAGTCTATATCATACATTTAGAGTTTTACATCAATACAATATCACAACACATTTGTTAATTCATTTAAAAGGAAAAAGATTACCTCTACACCGCAACAGATGGGAGCTGTTCCCTAACAAGTCAGTATAAAAGGGTGTAATTAAAAGGTACTCACCTCTCTTTTCTGCTGCAGAAAAAATCTTCTGTCTCCCACCGCAACCACCAAAGTTCAGAAGGGTTTAATGAAAATATTGTTAATAGAAAAAAAGAACCCGCTTGATTCCAACTGAAGCTTTTATTGTTGAGGCGGGAAGCACAACACAGGAAATACAGTCTCTTTAAATTCTCTCAACACATCACGCAGTCTTACATAGTCTCATGTTTTGTAGGTGGAATCAATGGGCCCCTCTGGTAACATATAAAAAGAGGGCTTCATGGAGGTGAAGGGTATGAAAGGAGTCTTATATAACACACAATAAAACAGTATCAAAATCAAACAAATAACACCTGTACAATACGATCCAGTTACACAGCCCTGCAATTCATCCTACCTGTCGCATTGAACAACAACATATTGAAAGGTGTTTTTACTATTTTACTAACCTTGTTGTGTAAATTCATAATTTGAATGTTCTTCATTCATATATCCTCTCCTTAAAAAGTAAATCACAGTTGCAGGTGCTCAGTGCAAAACCTGAAGGCATTAATAATTACAGTACTGAATTAATTACAGATTAAAAAAGAGAAAAATGTCTTCACATCTCAACGTTCAAGTTTATAAACTTCTGATATTCACAGTCAGTTCAAATGTTTAATATTTGAGGTTGTTAATACAGAAAATTCAGACTTACAGAAATAAATCGGGTAAAAACAGAAGAAAGACTTTTACTGTCTTTAATGGACGGTGATGGGAGAATGGAGTACTTGTTGATAAATTCAAAACTTTTTAAAAACAGCTTTATCAAAATGATTTGTTAGAATTTAATTTAAATGAAGTGTAAAAAGATGATCAATAAATAAATCCATTTCATTTTGTTTTAAATAATGAATTACTAATTGAATTTAAAAATAGAATTTTAAAAAGGCTTTTAAATTTAACTTACTGATGTGTCAGCCAAACATATTACAACCTTACAATTAATTTGTTAAATAACATTAATTTTAACATGCTTACAGATATTTCTGTTTATCAATTAATAATAAAAATAGTCCAATCAAAAGTATAACTAGGCATCTTATTAAGGTTCAATGTGTACGTTTTAGTGGCACCTAGTGGTGAGGGCTCCAAATTGCAACCAGTGGCTCAATGTGCATTCACTTGCTCCTCAGACAAAATAAGTACTTAATAATAAATAAATGTATTAATTCTAATGGCAATTGTAAATTTAGCAGCTCTGTACTTTTCCTCCCTGAGGTTGAACATCATTTCAATTTAATTTCTAAATCCAACAACAACAAAAACAGAAAACTGTCAACATATCCTTTAAAATCTTTATACAATGTAGACTAGCACTTGCAAAGTTTTTATTATTTTTCTTAAATATTTGTTAACTGTTCTGGATACTTCTTTATGTCCAATGTACTCTTTATTCCTCCTTTTTGCAATAAAGATTTAAACTGAATAAAAAATCAGATTTTTCCAACACCACATGAATGCACCATCAGTCACCACACCCCGCTCCCTTTTCAAGCGAGCAGGAGAAGCTGCGGTGGCCAAACACTGAGCCTTTAAGTGACATCAACTAGACGTCCTATGAAAGGACAAAGAGGGAGAAGGGAACAGGTAAGATGGACAGCAGCAGAGGAGACGAGAGGGAAACCAGGTGAGCGGATGAAGTTGTTTCAGAGGTTGAACCGTTACCCGTGAAGACGACGAAGCCCGGCAGGTTGGTGGTGATCTGGCTGTTGATCCAGGACTGAAACTGGGACACTCGGGCGTAGACTGTTGGGAAGTTGGCCAGAGCACAGGGTTCTCCAAAATTCACCACTCCACCCTGGACCCAGATAGAGCCGGTTTTACTCACCAACGGGCCGCCTGAATCCCCCTGTAGAGGTCAGACAGGTCGGTTCTATCACCAGCAAATGGACTTGACATGCAGATTTCAATTTAGCCCCAAGGTATCATGGGAATAACGGTGTTCCAGACGGGGATAAAAACAATAGACAGCTTTATTGATTAGTGCAGCTTTTAACATTGATGGAGGAGTGTTTTGCAGACTCACGTAGCAGGAGTCCTTTCCTCCTTGTTTGAAACCGGCACACATCATGTTGCTTGTGATTAAACCGTAGGCCGCATTACAATCACGGTTGGACACGACGGGAACGCTCACCTGCTGCAGATGCCGTGGGTAAGGAAGTGAAACTGAAAAAGAAAAGAGACCTTAATGTTGAGTCTGCCTGGATTTTTCTTTTTGTCAACTGAGCCTTAGAGCTCCTTTGTTGTCCAGAAACTATTAAACCAATCAGTGAGCCTCACTGCTGCACTGGGTCACATGTTCCTTCATCACCATGAACACACACACTGTAGTTTATTCTGACTCAGCCCCACACACACCGTCCTGCTGCCCCAAACACTCGCTACAGCACCACATGTGGATTCATCCGCCGCTGAAAATAGTCCCCAACAAAGTCTGAATGAATGGACTTTACAACGATGAGTCTGTTTCATGGCTTATTCTGATTGGTCGTTTAAACGGAGACGTCAGCTCTCTTTGGGCTCTGAAGCTTAAACTCACCAACATTTAGATTTCACCACAATTCTCTCGCAATTGTTAACTTTGGTCTGGAACATCTGAAAATCACTGTACATCGTAAAGGCAGCGGTGGGATGTATTTTAAGTACTGTAAGACAGTTTTTAGATACTTACGTATTTTCATTTTGTGCTACTTTATACTAATACTAATACATAGGTAGAGTTCTGGCTGTCTGTAATGTTGAGGGATGGATCTAAATACTACAATACCCATAAGCCTCGGCTGCAGAATGGGATGGAGAAGAAGCCAGTCCGAGATATGAGTTAGAATCTGATCAAAACACTGTCCAAACATTTTAGGCAGGTTTGGAAAAATGCTGTAAAGTGAGAATGCTTTCAAAAATAGAAATGTTAATAGATTATTTTTTATCAATCAACAAAATGCAAAGTGAATGAACAGAAGAAGAAAAGCAATCTTACTTTACAGCATTTTTTTCATACCGATTCTAAACTTTTGCACGGCACTGCAAATGTGTGGTGTCCTGAGGTGCAGTTGTTTGTAAAACCCAACAATAAAAACTATTATTCCATACAATCATTCACAAATAACAATAGTCTACATTTAAAAATGACAGAACCAATTCTCACCGTCACTTTGGGTGTTCCCCCATCCGGTGACCCAGCAGGTCGTCCCGTTGTTAAAGACACTGCCGTCCGCCGCCAGACACACGGGTCTGATGTAGTCGGTGAAGGTAACAGGTGAGGACAGCTGCAGCAAGGCTATGTCGTTATTTAATGTTTTGTTATTATAGTTCGGATTTACAATGATCTGGGACACAGTCCGGGACACCTGGTTTAAATTTGGTAAGTCTTGGGAGTCACGGCCGAGGTAAACGACGAGACTGGGTGTGGGCCTGAGGAAACAGAGAAGAAAACAGGTTTACATATTCTACACTACTCTGTTAATAATGGTTAATAAAATAAATCACCATGACGAACAAGGATGGGACCCTACTGACCTCAACTGGGGAGGTAATTGGGCGGTGGAAGGAACACTTTGAGGATCTCCTAAATCCAACTCTCCTCTTTAGTAGAGGCAGAGCTCAAGGCTGATGGGGGATTCTCGTCAATTTCCCTGGTGGAGGTCACTGAGGTAGTCAAACATCTCCACAGTGGCAAAGCCCCAGGGACTGATGAGATCCGCCCAGAAATGCTAAAACCTTTGGGTGTGGAGGGGCTGTCTTGGATGACACGTCTCTTTAACATTGCGTGGAAGTCAGGTACAGTGCCCAAGGAGTGGCAAACTGGGGTGGTGGTTCCCCTGTTCAAAAAGGGGGACCAGAGAGTGTGTGCCAATTACAGGGGTATCACACTTCTCAGCCTCCCTGGTAAAGTCTACTCCAAGGTGCTGGAACGGAGGGTTTGGCCGATTGTCGAACCTCAGATTGTAGAGGAACAATGCGGTTTTTGTCCCGGTCATGGAACAACTGACCAGCTCTTTACTCTCACAAGGATCCTGGAGTGGGCTTGGGTGTATGCCTATCCAGTCTACATGTGCTTTGTAGATCTGGAGAAGGCGTATGACCGGGTCCCCCGGGAGATATGGACAGGATATCGAGGCGTAGTTGTGGCGAGGAGGGGCTGCGGTTCGGGGGGCTTGGGATCTCGTCACTGCTTTTTGCAGATGATGTAGTCCTGATGGCATCATCGGTCCATGACCTTCAGCTCTCACTGGATCGGTTCGCAGCTGAGTGCGAAGCGGTTGGGATGAGGATTAGCACCTCTGAATCTGTGGCCATGGTTCTCAGCAGGAAACCGGTGGAGTGCCAACTCCAGGTAGGGAATGAGTCCTTACCCCAAGTGAAGGAGTTCAAGTACCTCGGGGTCTTGTTCACGAGTGAGGGGAGACTGGAGCAGGAGATTGGCCGGAGAATCGGAGCAGCGGGGGCGGTAATGCACTCGCTTTACCGCACCGTTGTGGCAAAAAGAGAGCTGAACCGTAAGGCAAAGCTCTCGATCTACCGGTCGATTTTCGCTCCTACCCTCACCTATGAAGGCTGGGTCATGACCGAAATAACAAGATCGCGCGTACAAGCGGCCGAAATGGGTTTCCTCAGGCGGGTGGCTGGTGTCTCCCTTAGAGATAGGGTGAGAAGCCCGGCCATCTGCAAGGAGCTCAGAGTAGAGCTGCTGCTCCTTTGCGTTGAAAGGAGCCAGTTGAGGTGGTTTGGGCATCTGGTAAGGATGCCTTCCAGGCACGTCCAGCTGGGAGGAGGCCTCAGGGAAGACCCAGGACTAGGTGGAGAGATTATCTCTCGCCTCGGGATCCCCCAGTCAGAGCTGGTTAACGTGGCTCGGGAAGCGATGAAGATGGATGGATGGATGGATGGACCATGACGAACATTTTCTCTATTTAGATTTTTATTCATCAGTTTTATTAGAGTTCATTGTAATGTACGGAGTACATATAATGTCATTATAACATTTTTTTTTCAAAAGTTTTAAATAAACTTTTGAAAAAGTGCATTTTACTATATAAAGAACCATGTAATGACAAATAATCAGAAAATAATAGTAATGTTTTACTATAAAATGTTATTTTCCAATAAATACACATTATAATATAATAATGTAAGAATGTAATTTGGTGCTAAGTATAGGGGTATAATAGAGGAAAAAACTGCTAAATTCAAACACAAGTAAATATGAGTTCTTTATGAGTAATTTATTAGTGGACAGCCCCTTGAGATGCAGCATCTCGTTTTCAAGAGGGTCCAAAAACATAAATACATAATACAAGCACAAAACAAGACTAGTACACAAGTAATGCACAGAACAAATACACAGAAATATTATAGTTCATACAGCTTGTAGTTAATATAATAATTACATCACATTCAGTGAATTAAACAAGGTCAGTTCACTTTACAACACGGCACAATAAGAACCAATGACAACATAATAAAGTCAATGCCGGGTAGTACCAGATGGGTAGATTATTATTTATTTTTATTACTATTTATCGATAGACAGCACATAGTCAAACAAAGTGGACATACTTTCCAGGATCAGTAACATGGACACAGTGAATTAAGATGGTTAAATAGAGATAATGGATGATGATGGATCTCAAAGAAAGAGGGAGATTGTTTCAATCACAGGGTGCCTTATAATGAGAGTCTTTAGCAGCAGTGAATAATCTGGGTACAGTGAAAACAAGATGTTGCATATCTCTACGAGGATATGAAGAACTACAAGGAACCAAGAGATCTTTAAGATACGGAGGACATTTAAAGTAGGCACATTTAAAAATAAATTCAAACCAGTGAACCCTTTCTTGATTTAAGCTGCAGCCAATAACACAATGATGTGTTAGGATTTGGTTTTGTGCTGTTGTTTTTCCTGTGTTTATTCCGTCTTTCTCTGTTTGTGGTTTTGTGCAGCCTTGTTTATTATTTCAGTTTCGTTAGTTCTCTTAGCATCTGTCTTGTCTTGCATCTTAGTTTTTAGTCCTGTACTTTGGTTTTCTGTCTTAGTTCATAACTTGGTATTTATTCCTTGTTCAATGTTTGTATAATATTGATCTTGTCTGCTCCGCGTTCTGTTTATTATAGTGTTAGTCTGTTTCTGGTTTGATTGTAGTTAAATTGGAAGATTTAGTTTTCTGTCTACCTTGTGCTGATTTGTCTACCGTGTTTGGTGATTTATTATTTGGCCGTGTTTAGTCTTGTGTGCTTGTTTCCTGTCATGTTTAGTTTGTCTTTCAGTGTTCAGTTGTTTCTGCATTTTGGTCTGGTCCTGTCTGTTCCCCTCATTTGGTTTCACCTGCTTGCCTGTGTTTGTGCCTAATTAGCTCCTGATGTGATCCACCTGTTTTATGTTCCCGCCCTGCTTAGTACCTGGTTTTTAAAAGTTTGCTTGTGCTGTTCAGTTTTTGTGACGTCCTTGTCAATGCTGAATGTTCTGCCCTGTACCTGGGTTCCTGGTTTACCTTGCTCTTGTTTGGATCTCAGTCTTGGTTTTTGGTTTTGGCTGGATATTCATGTCCTTTGGATTACTCTTTTATTTGGAATGTTGCTTTGTGCTTTGGAAAGACTGTTGTAGTAAGTTTTGCTGAAAATAAATATTTTTATTGAACTGAATTCTCTGCCTGTGTCTGCGTTTGGGTCCACACCTAAGTCTGCACTCAGCTTCCCATGACATGATGAGTTTAAAAGGACACCTCAAGACAAATCTACACAGAGAATTAAAGACCACATTAAGTGTCGGACGGTAGTGTTCATGTAAATGATAGTAGCGTAGTCAATAATATGCAATATCCAACTGAGAGATTAATCTTTTCCCTTCTTTAAACGTGAAACAATTAACAGGCCGATAGAGTGAGCTTAGACAGCCATATGTCCTTGTTAGGAAGTGAGGTTTAAAGGTAAATTCAGGATCAATCCACGATCCAAGGTATTCAAATGAATCCATGTTCACCGTGGGAGACCCGTCTTCAAAATAAAGATTACAAAGATTACCATTTTACAGTTATTTTAGCTTCAGCTGATCCCATCTGCACTGACTGAGTTAAATACTTTTGATTACGCTAGAAATTTATTGTAATAAATGAATTGGAAACGTTAACACTGGAATGCTGGAAATTATTAGTAAATGAATCTGTAAAAACTAGATGAAAGAATCTTATGAGTTTAGTTTGAATAATGTATTGAATAATTTTACAATTTATGAATCACCTTTGTTTCTTAACATCATCGTTAATTGGTCCCTTCTTTTGCTTCCATATCTCCTATAATACGTAATTATTGTTGAGTTTTTTATTAAAATTATGACCAGGTTCTGTTAAATTCTTATTAAATTTTGCATTATGCACATGACTGTTTTTAAATAAGTGAGGATATTTTAAAGACAAATTTTAATAACCACGTGAAAAGCTAAATTTTGGGATTCATCTCAGAATTTTGATGAATTGTTTTTAAACTCATGTGACTGAATTGAAGATCACCTGTTGAAACAGTGAGCAGCAGTCAGGACCCACTGGTTGGTGATCAGGGAGCCTCCACAGAAAGGACCTCCGCTCCTGTGCAGACTGACCATCCAGGGCCACGACCCTGCAGGAGCATTCGTCCCTCCTACGATCCTGGTGTTGAGCGGCGCAGTGCCACAAACTGGAGGGAAACAGAATTCATGTAATGCTGCAGGCAGGTGCTGTTTTTGTTTTTGTTGCTGTATTGTTTCTTTCTGGGTGCTATTATTTGTCTGGATGCCTGTCGTTTGTGAAATATGTTTCTGATTAAATAAACTAAACGTCCACTGTGTTTGATTTAGTGGCATCCATATGGGGGTAAATCAATGTCAAGATCATTGTAAATGCACAGACTTGGACTCACAAATGTACAATACAATTTGTAAACACAAATAGAAACAAATAGATTTGAAATCCACAAACAAACTCTTCATGATCCACAAATAGAAATCAGTGACTTGTACTTGAAAAACCAAAATGTGAATGAATGGAAAATTATTTGTCTGTGTGTGAGAGTCATATATAATTTGTAGATTGTTTGGCACTTATTTTCAGAATATGTTAGCTGCTCTTGTTAACTCGAGCGGTCTGTGCAAACCAATTTCTTCCGCAGTCTCTCTTGTACTCAGGGGCAAAAAAATGGCCCAGGAATCTTTCCTCGGTCAGCCCACTCTCCGGGCAAAGCATTTGTCGATGACTCTGGGTCTTTAAAGACCTTTATTTCTGCGTTCTTGAGAATTGTATGCATGAAATGAGCCATTAAAATATATTTTTAAAACTAGAAACACCAATGTATGTCTCTGGCTTATTTCTATAAAATGTATTTGAAAAGATATGATCATTTCTATCTGCTCCAAAAACCAACACACAAACTCAAGCTTGTGACTCTATACTTCTTCATCGTGACAGAAACTTGCTCACTTTTTTTAGTGTCCTTAGGTTTTGAGATTCCTTAGAGCCGTCTTGTATGGTAATTTATGGTAGATTTTTGCCAATAGAGGGCACTCTTTACTAATGTAAGGAGCCCTTGACTCCCACAAAGTACACAGCCCACTGGACAAATGTACACTTAGAGCACTAATAGAATTGACGGGGTATCTTTAGGAAGTAGGTTACATTTCCCTTGCAAAATGCACATACACATGAAACACATTACGGTATATTGGGTCAGATGCCAGTGTGTGTTGAATGTGTGGCAGCTGGTGAGCATATGATAAATCTACAATCTTTCCAGACCGCATGGGACAGCGTTAACAGAAAAACATACACAGTGTGTAACAGTGACAGACGGACAGGAAGTAAAAAAGGTGCACTGAAACTTTGACTCACCATCTAGCTGTGACTGAGACTCTGAAAACACAAAACAAACAAAAAAACAACAAGTTTGTATTTACATTTGCTGACATGACTCATTTTATATTAAGTTATATTGTTTAGTACAACAGTAAGTGAACGCATCACAGTTTAAATGCACTTCAGATTTATTAAATTGAACATTGAACCTCGTCTCTGCCTCATCACACTGCAGACGTCCCCTTGACAAGGCACTTAACCCTCAAACTTGCAGGTCAGTCTGTTGTGATGGTGGGCAGAAGTTAAAACTTTCTTTCTTGTGTACGTTTGCAACACTTTATTACTATTTTATGTGAATTACAAAATAATTCTGCATCACATGAAAACAATACATTATATAAAAAGTAAAGAACATATATATGTGCGTGTGCATTCCTTTTTAACATTTCACTTTGATATCAATGGTGTTTTTAATCTTGAATGTGATGTGTGGACGGGCGGGCAGGATCGTACAGCAACATAACTGAATATTTAAATCTCCCGATACGCCGACAGGATCTTTCAGGATCTAATGTTAGTTCATCCAAAAGGTCTTTGAAGTTAGTTAAAGGAGGTATAAAAAGGGGAGAAACACATTTTAAAGGTAAATCATTTGTTTTTAAAGAGGTGGTATTCTGATCATTTTCAGGTTCATAATCTTATTTAGAGGTTGTACCAGAACAGGTTTACATGGTTTCATTTAAAAAAACAACCATATTTTCGTCATACTGCACATTGCTGCAGCTCCTCTTTTCACCCTGTGTTGAAGGCTTCGTTTTAGCTATGGAGTGATACATCTTGTCTCTAAATTATCTTTGTTGGGAGTTGCACATGCTCAGTTCCTAGTTAAGGACTACTAGCCAATCAGAAGCAGAGAAGGGCGGGTCAGCGAGAAGCCGGTATACAGCTGCGGTTCAGCTGCACGTGTTGCCGACCAGCTTAGCAACATGGACTGGAGCGAGAGTTTCAGAGTGGTGAGTTATGAATCTGTAACAAAAGCATCTTTCATCCATAAAGTTTTAACTGAGCTCTGTCTCTACATCACAGGAACAACTTCCCTACTGTGACGTCACAGGGATGAAAGGGAAGCGGCTGGACTACAAACAAGCTGTTTTCAGGCAGTTCAGAGCAGAGTTTTCTGTGGGACATGGGAACTCCCTTTGGGCTTTTTCCCTTTGCAAACCTATTACATGCACAATAAAGGAGAGGGACAAAGGCAAAAAGCACAATACCACCTCTTTAAACAACTGAACTTACTGAAACTTATCAGCTCTGGATCAACTTTAAGCTTGTTCTGCAAGTGGAAGATTACATGCTGGCTTCTCAATCAGAGGAACAAATCATAGGTGGGACCGGTGTATAGATAAAGCTTCAGAAAAGTTATTGTGTGGCGAAACTAAATCAGAATCACAGTCTTGCAATAAATATAGAAACTTTATGAGATTAAATAGGCTGCGATGAAGTTCAGAAGACTAAACAGGTCATGACAATGTTTTTTATGGGCTAATTTACCCCCATTATAGTGTACAGAAGCATTTATTGAGTGACAGATATATTCAGCTGAGGTTGTGCTGATTCTGGGGAAGTTGAAACTTGATTCTGTAAAAAACTTAAACTTTATAAGGCAAAACAAAAAGGTACGCAACAACGGAAAGGTCTCAGAGAGTTCATGCAAACAGCGACTGACAGGAAGGAAGGCATTTATTTCACTCAGCTGCTTCCTGAACTCCTTTACAATCAGCAGTTATTTCACTTTTATGCATCCAGACAAAGTTGTAATTTAGACTAAATGAAGCCAAGTGTTTTGTGCAAAACTATTTTTACTCCACTTCATTTATATGACGACTGTAGTTACTGCTCAATTTGCAGATTTATTTCTTTTTAAACATTCAATGAATAAAGTTGGTTGTTTTGCCATCTATAAAATCCTTTTCCATAAAAATCTGACACAATAACTTTTAGAGAATTTACTCAACCTGGACAAGAATATTCTTACTTTATTTCTCATCCTCTCCTAATTATGATGATTTTCATAAAGTGTATTCATGCATATTTTGATTCAGTGTGACAGGGTCCACCGAGCACTTTGGTTTTGTACATTTTATTGCTGCAATTTAGCAAAAAGTTTAATTTTAATGCAGGATTTCAACTTGCATGTGATATTTTCTTTATACGTACATACAGCGGTCATGAGATCTCAAACACGATCGGTTCAGGTGTGCGCGGTGAGGAGGGTTCTTACCTTGTGTCAGGAGAGTCAGCAGAGTCGCCACACAGATCACTTTGTAGAAAGCCATAACTGAAAGTCCATATCATCAGATCTGCACCTGCATAAATAACCTTCTTCTCGTCTCCCTGACTCTCTCTCCCTTCCTGTCTACTTCCAACACAGACACATCTGTTCAATGACACGCCCAACACCTCACCTATCACCTGTTTCACAGCATGTGACACACGACATGTCATCGTCTCAGAGCTCACACTACACTACCACTTACTACCCCGAGTACTGTTACTTAAGTACAACACTGCGGTACTTTACTGGACGATTTCCATTTCATGCTACCTTTAACTTCTACTCTAAATGTACTATTGAAATGTTTCACCTTTTTAATTTAATTCAACACCTGTAGTAAACATCATATGCAGGGAAACGCTAACATTAACTCATTAGAACTATATGTTAAAAGATTTTTTAACATCTCAGCGGGTAATTAAAACCGCTCTGAAGATCTTTCGGCTCCAGAAAACAGGAACAACACCGGCAGGCATAAAAATACATGACAGTCATGAATCTCACCTGGCAGCATTCCACATCTCTGTACAGTCTGGTTGAATTTGTAACCTGCGTGACCTCCTGTCGGATTAGACATGTGACATTTGTTGTGGCTACATGTGTTGACAAATAAGCACAGGTCTCAATTAGACGCCTGGTCTGTTTTTTATAGAATTTTTTGGATGTATAAAACCTTTTAAAGCCCACCGGGTGACCTGATCGATCTAAGCTGCTCAGATCGCACTTACAAATACAAATGCTTAAACTTTCATCAGTATGGACACGCTGCACCACACAATCATTTAGTTCATTTTAAAGAAACAATAAGCATCAAGTATAATTCATTCAGATACAGCGGCATGATGAAAATTAAAGGCCTGTCCTAAATGTACGCAGGGTGAGTTCAGTGATTTAACCAGGGCCCGTGTTTAAGAGTAAAAAAATCTTGGCTCATAGCTGTGATTAAAAGTCAGTTATCAAGCATCATGGTCCTAATTTGAGTGGAGTGTAGGACTAAATCTTAAGTGTCAGTCTTAGTGCTGATTGGACACTTTTCTGTGCAGCAAACAGGATTTTGGATGACGATGTAGCCAAGGACCAATCACTGAATAGATTTCCTTATTTAAGAATATTCTCAGATAAATTCACATTTAATGGTGAAACTCATAAGAGGAGTTTAAATTCAACAGACATTTGACAATTAAGCATTTTTAAGACAACACATAAAAGATTAAAAAGTCTGTCTTTATATGAGCACCATCAGTTGCATCTACTACTTGTTGGAAGCCAGCCGGCAAGAAGTATTTGTCTGAATTGTGATGTGTTGTTGTTGGGAAGTCGATGAAACGCGTGACAATAAGCGGAGCTCTAAGTGCTATAATTACTTCTATGACAACTCGTCTTATTGATGGTTATGACGGGCCAAAATCCTCTGCTGCCTTTTTTACTGTGGCAAAGAAACAAAGCGTCATCACAACCGTCAATTCAGTTGAAAACGCACTGCTGCGTAAAGTCAGCGGTGAGACGACGTCCCTCACCAACTCGCTGACAAAGATGATGCCTGCGCCGTCCGACCCCGTCTGATAAAGTGCGCGTCGTTAAATAACGCAGAAACATTCTTCCTCTCCTGAAATAATCGGGCATGTCTCTGTCTCCACAGTCCATCACAGCTCCTAACCACTTGAGAGACCTCTGCAGCTCTCTTAAATAACTGGGAGAGTAATTTGATAACTTGCTTTTATTCTTAAGTTTGAAAGTAGGAGTGAATTTCATGAATTCTCAGCACTTGAGACCAAACTGGCACTTTGAGAAGTTTGATAAATACCGGTCCTGAGCAATTAATTGAAGTTTTGTGGCACTTACTTTTACTTGGTAGTTTAGTAGGACTTTGAATAGACTTTGTAATGGAGTATTTTCACACTGTGGAATTCAAATCTCTGAGGCTTCACTGTGCAGGGAAGTGCTAAGGTTAACTATTAGAACTATTTGTTAAAAGATCTTTTCAACATCTCAACAGATCCAGAGAGGATCTCCACTCAACACCCACATCAGAATGCTGTTTGTGGATTTCAGCTCAGGATTCAACACAATCTCCCCATGAAGCTGATCAGCAAACTCAGCACTCTGGGTTTAAATAAAAAACTCTGCAGGCCAAACTCCCGTGCCAAGTTCTTGTCAGCTTTTACAGAGGAGCAACAGAAAGCCAGAAAACAGCGACAACAACGTCAGGCTTGAACAGACATGAATCTCACCTGGCAGCATTCTACATCTCTGTACAGTCTGTTTGAAATTGTAACCCGTCCGACCTCCTGTCACCTCACACGTCTCCTCATCTATCACAACTAACATGTTTTAGAGATAGTAGTCTTTGTTTTAATTTCTATTAAAATATCATGTTTGGTGTTATATTTGTCGGATTCATACAGCAGTGGAAGGAGAACACTTTTTTTTTAATCAATAACTAGTAATGTGTAAAAAATACTCTGTTACACGTAAAAATCCTGCATTCAAATACAGAAGTATTATCAGTTAAATATACTTACAGTTAGATTTAAAGTACTCATTAAGCTGAATCAACTCCTTAGATCTTTATATTATTAAATACATTATATTATTGGGTTATTATTGGTGATGTATTAAGGTGTAAGCAGCAGAAGAACCCTTGCACACGTTTTTAATAACGCCACAGCTGCTTCCATAGATTCGTCATGAAGATGACGGAAGTAAGAAGTAGGAAGGAAACATCCACCACTGTTTTGTGTCGCTAGTGACGCAGAGCAGCTGAATAATGCCGGTTCAGCTTTTGTACCTCGCAGCTGGACACTGAGGATTCCTGCTTCCTGCTCAGGGATGAACTGGTCTGACAGCCTCAGGATTACTGTGAACAAATGAACTTGATTTGGAACAAGATGAACCAGTAAACACTGTCATCATCCGTCACTTTCAGAAGAAGTATTTAGATCCTTTACTTAAAAGTAGAAGTACCATTAAGACAATAATACTCAAGTGAAAGTCTATTCAAAGTCCTACTGAAAAAGTAAATACGGTAAAAATTAATAATTAATATCCCAGGCTTTTATTTGTTTAAATCACTGAACTCACCCTGCTTATATTTGAGACTGCTTCTATTAATCCCTTCACCATGCCGGTAGATCTGAGGGATTTATACTTTAGTGCTCATTGTCTGTAAAATGAACTAAATGATTGCATTGTGTAAAATCTGCACTGGTGTGATTTTCTCTAGTAACACATGCCTTGTTACAAACTGGATCTGCCAGTTAGAGACTATAACCAGGGCTGCAAACCTTTCCATTAAGTTTGGAGTGAGATTCAATATCGGTGAAGTTGGTGCATTTTCTGAGTAGGCCGTCTGTGACATTACCCACCGCATTAACCCCCAAGTACAGATGAAAAGCCAAGTCAATAATCATTATAAACCTCGACCAGGCATGGTGGATACTTGCCAACCTCCAGACCAAAAGCCATCCTCACTCCCAAGTCGTCACATATGGACGGACGCATGGTCAAGACCCGTCGGTGTCGCTTTTTAACGCGCTGGGGAAAGCCCTGTAATGTCGGTTTTCAGCGCTAAGTGAAGGTAGGTGTAGGATATTTAACAGAAAAGTCAGAGTAAGGAAGTGGTTGAGGTGTCGAACACCACAGGAGTTTGAACAGAATATAAAAAGAAGACAGAAAATGGAATAACAAAAATTTAAAAAATAGCTCCTAAATTAGAATACAGCTGAAGCCAAAGGAACCAAAGATACATTCAAACTGATTGATTCAATGTTTAAACATTTCAGAATTTAATACAAATTTTAAAAAACCCAGAATGTATAAAATATCAGCACAAAGCTACTTTAGTCATTTTTACACGTACAACGTTTTATGGCATTAAAAAGAACAAGTTTGGTGTTGTTTTAAGTAAACTCCAGCATGACTTGATCCTACCACGCGCCAAATGTGGATTCATCCGCCGCTGAAAAGACCTCAAGACCAAGTAAACTGCAGCAAATTACTGAACCTTTTTTAAAAATTAAACTACATATTTATGAGCTTCAATAGGAGCCAATTGGAGCAGAGAGCCACAGACAGGAAGTCAGACAGTATTAAGAGATGGACTGACAAAATCCTGTCCTCAAAATGTTTCTCTAGTTTTACGTTATGTTTTAGCGTTTTAATTTAGAAATTAAAAAACACTGATATGTAAACTGAAAACTGGGGTTGTCTGAGGTCGGAGATTTTGCAATTCCATTTATAGTGTTATCTAAGCAACAAGGGTGCAAAACATGTGCACATCTTTCTTGTCCATGCACTCATAAACCAGAAATGCTCCCTTTGAAATATCTGTTTCATTAAAAAAGCACAATGTTTCGGGCCCAAACTGGCTCTTCATCAAGTACAGAGGTTTCAACAATTTAGCGCTTTGTGTAAGTAGTTTAAAGGGAGCGCCTTAATGTCTGACGCTTTAATATCTGCTTAAATATTAGACCATTGAGTGCAGTGTTTATGGTCACACTGAACTTTTACATCAGCCAATATAAGTTTCTAGAAATACCTTGATTTGTCAGGTATTTAAAATTCTATTTGCTAAAAACTTATTTCATCCATTAACTTAATGAATCTTTTCAGAAAACATGTTATTATATATCAGGATAAACAGTAGAGATATTGCGATACACAAACTTGGATAGAGGGTTTTACCCAGTAAACAATTTGAATTTAACGATAGTGAACAAAAAACAGCAGCAAGCTGTGATAAGTCCTTCAACCACGTGAAAGCCGGAGACCCTGTTCTGTTCGGTAAAGTTATAAAATTACGGTGGAGGCGGTGCCATCTGATGGCAGTAACAGAATCATTTTCAGTCTCCTTTGAAGGTTAAAAAGTCAAAAGAAAAAGTCGAAGAGGAGGATTTATATTGATGCTCTGCAAGAGCTCAAAGACCGGGTTCCCTGGAGGCCCTGTTTTACGGTTCTGACCGTGAGCCGCATCATCTCCGGTTCAAGTCTCTTCCCTCTTCTCCTGCTCTCTCTCCACCGTAAACTCCCTGATAAAAAGGCATACATTTTAAAAACTCCGGCATCAGTGCGCCAACATCCTCTTCTTCTACTTGATCCTGATCTC